TTTACCTTTTTGTTTTGTTTCTGTGGGATGATTGTTCGTTCTGACTGGACCGGTCTCAGCAGCAGTGTGTGGTGTGTGGCTGGTTGAGGCCGTGGGGATTCCCGTGGTGGACAGAGCTCCACCAAACGCTCACAATAAAACTGCTTGGTCAGCTGTGTGAGAGCAGAGAATGAACGGTATGTCTCAGAGAGTCGGTGTGTTGTACGCCATTCACAGCGCAGTGCAACAGCCACCACTGTGCTAAACACGCATGCACACCAGGGGTATGGCTACAGGGCAGTTGGGGGGTGTAGGGGGCTCCCTGGTTGGACTAGGCCCCTCCAGATTTTAGACTCTTATGCCAGTCAAATTATTACAAAATGTAAGATCGTAATGGGCAAAGACGGTGAGTGTGCCCTCCTGGTCAGTGTGTATAATAGTGTTTTTATATGGGCAATCAAATCTGTTTTATCCACTGACAGTACGCTCTTAAAAAGATGGTTCTTCAAGGGTTCTTTAGCAAAGACAATGGTTCTATATAGAACCATAAATGCTCAAAGAACCATCTGCATGCTTGAAAGGTTTCTTTGCATGGTGAAATTGTTTTTCAGATTGATGGAGAATGAGCTGGAAATGATTCTGTAGCACAAAAAATGGTTCTTCTATTGTAGCAAGCTTGACACCATAACAACAAAATAATCTTTTTTGGTGCTATATAGAACCATTTTCAAAAACGTTCTATATAGAAGAACCAGATACAACACATTCTCCATCAATCTGAAGAACTATTTCACCATGCAAAGCATGCAAATGGTTCTTTGGGTGTTCATGGTTTTACATAGAAACACTGTCTATAATAAAGAACCTTTAAAGAACCACCTTTTTTATAAGTATAGAAGCAATGGATAGATTTGAGATACAAAAGAAAAACACATCACTTTTTATGCCATGCTAATATAGCAACACTATTTTATTTAGTCTTTTTTCCACCCTAGTAAAATTTCTGGGTCTTATCTGGCCCCCCAGTTCTAAAAGTTCTAGCTATGGCCCTTGTTACAGTAGCTAGCGTCACCCAGATAAATGAGGTAAACAATCATGTGTTGTGCTTTTCTTTCTCTCTAATCATGGCTGGGTGATTAATTTAGCTGTAATAAAGCTGTAGTGTCAGGGTCAGCTGGTCGGCGTCTGTTCTGCCTGTTTATTTCAGTCTGTGTGTTTATTATTACTGTAGGGAAACAGTGCAGTATAGTTCTGCTTTCACATTAAAGCTTTCAGTTCCCCTCATAGTGGGTCAGAAATTAGACCAAGCTGAATCAAGTTAATTTAGTGGAAAATATGAACATACATCATCTAAAAGATTAAGAATATTTAAATCCTTCATTTCATCAAGTGTGCAGTCAAGAACGTCTAAGACAGGCTGTTTATATCACAATACCTACATTTAGAGCCAGTTATTCATTCAGCCTATTGAGAAACTGTAGAACAGACTCAGTTTATATCACAATACCTACATTTAGAGCCAGTTATTCATTCAGCCTATTCAGAAACTGTAGAACAGACTCAGTTTATATCACAATACCTACATTTAGAGCCAGTTATTCATTCAGCCTATTGAGAAACTGTAGAACAGACTCAGTTTATATCACAATACCTACATTTAGAGTCAATTATTCATATAATAAGAAGAGTAAGTAAAATAAAGAAGAGCTCCACAAACTGGTGCAAAGGTTTAATTGATGTACTAGGTGCATAATATTTAGGAAATATGTATTTGTAGCTCATAAAGCAGTGCAGATATTCAGCCTAAACTGAATCTGCACTTTTGCACTTTTTACACAATGTACACACTTCCTCTAATGTGTATATTTTAATAAATGCCTCTAGATACTAAATGTATTCATTCTTTCATACTGAATAATTCATAGTAGATAATTCATAGTATATACAGATTAATCCATCGTAGATAATGCATAATATCTCTCTAGATAAATAACTAACTGACAGGTCCAGGGTTACAGGGGTTAACATGAACTTGAAGTTGAACTACCGGGTGCATATGTGTTTGAGATGTTTTACAGCAACTGTAGGAGTGCTGATATGTTCCAACATGTGCTGGAGAACATGGAGGAAAGTAGGCCGTCTGTATGATCTGACACACACAGAGGTTATGTAACATTTAGATCATGCTCCAGAGAAGCAGAGAAGTTCCTGTGAGCAGCTGAAAATGCAGATTACACCTCGCTATCTCACAGCACTCAGCGAGGACGAAGAGGCCTCAGGCTTCAGGCGCATGCCCTTCATACACGTGCAAAAGAGAGGCCACATACTGAAACATCGAAAACGATAACACGTGGCGTAAAAAGTACTAAGAAATTCTTCTAGCATTAAAGGAGAAATGCTCTCAAAAACGTACTTGAATAATTGTTTTTCTCAGTCTCAAACTTGCTTTCAAAAGTACCCAAATGCTAAAAATGAAACTAAACTTTACTCAGTAGGCTACATTTAAATCCAATAAGTTATTAAACAAGCCAGGTTTTAAAAAATTAATTGTTACAAATATGAAAGTGCATGCTTTCTATAAACCTGTAATAATTTAATGCAGCATCATATTAAGATGAAACTTTTTCAGACAAAGTGTCTCAGACGCATCAAACTATGTTATGTAGAAGCTACATAGACAGTTAAGAGTTATACTAGTAAGCTGGGTACCTCAGTGTCATGCTAACACAACAAGTATTACGCTAACACAAGAAATGAGCTTAAGAAAATAAGAAAAGTCTTAAGCCACACAGCCTTAATGGAATCCCAAAACAGTGGAGTACCCACACCATTTATGTTCCCTACATTAGTGTTCTATAGTGTTCCAAGGTAGATAATAATGATTAGGGGCCGTTTTTGCTTCCTATAATAGTGTTCTATGCTGCTCCAATGTAGGTAATCATTATTAAACACCCTTTCTGTTTCCTATAAAGGTGTTCAAATGTAGTGAACAATGATGTAAACCATTAATGTTCTATATAATAGTGTTCTAGAGTGTTTCAATATATGGCATAGTAATTAGAGGATCATTTCTGTCTCTGTAAAAGTGTTTTATGATTTTCCAGTGTAGGAAATAGTGATTAGGGGGCCATTTCTGTTCCCTATAAAAGTGTACATATGTTGATCAGTGATAAGAGAGACATTTGTATTCTCTATATTAGGTTCTATTGGGTTCCATTGTAGGGGATAGTGATTAGGGGACTATTTTGGTTCCCTATAATAGTGTTCTATAGTGTTCCAATGTTGGTAATCATGAATAAACACCCTTTCTGTTCTCTATAAAAGTGTTCAAATGTGATATTGATTCGGGACCATTAATGTTCTCTATGTTTTCTATAATGGCGTTCTAGAGTGTTTCAATGTAGGGAATAGTGGTTAGGGGACTATTTTGGTTCCCTATAATAGTGTTCTATAGTGTTCCAATGTAGGTAATCATGACTAAACACCCTTTCTGTTCTCTATAAAAGTGTTCAAATGTGATATTGATTCGGGACCATTAATGTTCTCTATAGTGTTCTAGAGTGTTTCAATGTAGGGAACAGTGATTAGGGATCATTGCTGTTCCCTATAAAAAAATGTTCATATGTTGTGATCAGTGATAAGAGAGCCATTTGTATTCTCTGTATTAGGTTCTATCAGGTACCACTGAAGCGGATTGTTATCAGGGACTATTCATGTTCTGTATAATAGTGTTCTATAGCGTTCCACTGTAGTGAACAGCGATCAGGGACCCATTTCTGTCCCTATAATAGTGTTCTATAGTGTTCCAATGTGGGGAAACAATTAGGGACCACTTATATTCCCTATAATAATGTTCTAGAGTGTTCCAATGTGGGTAACAGCAATTAGGGACCATATGTGTTCCCTATAGTAGTGTCCTATAGGGCTCCAGTGTTGGGAACAGTGTTTAGTTGCCCTTTCTGTTTCCTATAAAAGTGTTTAGATATAGTAAACAGTAATTAGGGACCATTCATGTACTCTATAATTGTGTTCTAGCGTGTTTCAATGTACGGAATACTGATCAGGGGACCATTCCTGTTCTCTATAATAGTGTTCAGTGTTTCATTAATTGTGATCAGTGATAAGAGAGGCATTTCTATTCTCTGTATTAGGTTCTGTTGGGTTCCACTATAGGGAACAGTGATTACAGACTCTCTATAGTAGTGTTCTAGAGTGTTTCATTGTAGGGAATGGTGACTAGGGGACCGAACAGTGATCTAGTGTTCCAATGTAGGAAACAGTGAAAAAGGACTCTTTCTGTCCATATAATAATGTTCTATAGTGTTCTAATGTGGAGAAACAGCAATTACAGACCATTTATATTCCCCATAGTAGTGTTCTAGAGTGTTTCAATGCAGAGAGCAATGATTAGGGACCATTTGCGTTCCCTATAACAGTGTCCTATAGGGCACCAATGTAGGGAGCAGTGTTTAGGTGCCCTTTTTGTTCCCTATAAAAGTGTTTAGATGTATTTAACAGTGATTAGGGACCATTCATGTTCCCTATTGTTGAAAACAGAGTCCCTGATTCTCCGTAAGGAAAAAGAACTGTGATGAGGGTGTTTTGAACACAGCGTGACTCTACAGATGGATACATATCCTGTATATTATTGTGCTCGGTCACCCGGGTGACGGGCGTGACGCGGCTGAGCGGGTCAGCAGCGGTGTACTGGTTTGGGGCCTGTATTTAAGAAAAGAAAAATGGCCAGCAGTGGAAACCATAATGAGCAAGGCGCTCTGGCAGGAGCAGGATGTGGCCAGGACACTCCACCATACGCCCACAGACAGGCAGGGAAAGAGTGAGGCTTTTGGTAAACAAGGTCACAGGATTGGATTTCGGAGTCATAACAACGAGGTGAATGCACTGCACGTGTGCGTGTGATTCATAGACTCCATTATAGAGAAGCTCCACAACTCACAGACGACCAGAGCAACAAGAATACAGATTTGGATTTGAAAAAAAAAAACGAACAGAAAAGCACGTCTTTACCAGGAGATCCTTTATTGAGTTGAGCTGCTGACTGCAACCATATCCAGAGCTGTTAAACAGGAGTATCGTTCCAAAAAAAGGCAATAAATATGGAGAGTATAAAAAAAACAAGCCAAAAAGCATGTAGCGGAGTAGTTATTTAACACAGACACAGTCTGGGCAGGTACATGCTGCTGCTGCTGCTGCTGAGAGACGACGTCTTCCTGCTGCTGCGCTTCAGAGCAGATCAACAGACCTGAAACACACATGCAAACCCCAAATCAGTCTTACGGATTAAACAACCAAATTATCTGCTCACAAAATTAGTCACGTCATACAATAATGTCAACATGTTTTCCAGAAAAGAAAACCTGGTGACATTAAACACACTTATAACAGAAGCCTATGGGAGCCTGCTTTAGCATTTCTATTATCCTTGAGTTTAGAGTCAGTGCATTTCTGTTTCAAAAAAGTGTGTTCAAATTATTGTCTGTGCTAATCAGCTGCATGCTAAAGATGCCACAGATAGAAAGTTCTGGAGTATTCCTTCAGGGTGTTTTCACACTAGACCTTTTTTCCGGACCCAGGGCCTTTTGTTCTGAGTTCAGCACGTTTGGTCGAGTGTGAAAGCTGCTTTTGAGCCCAGGAGCAGAAAACCTCCTGAAATCGGTGGTCTATAAGCTTATTTGACATCAGCTCATTCACACTTAACGTACCTTCTGTATTAACATGCTAAATTACTGTTAAAGACTTTTTAAAGTTTTTTTTATGGTTGTTTAAATGCTGGAATACTGAAAAAGAAGTTATATATTTTGGGGCATGTTAGTGCAAATTCAAGTTAAAATGTCTGTTTAATGTGTATTAAGTAACATTTATTGATATGGAACGTACATTTACGGTAAATTGCTGGCTACTGGCTTTTACAGTTGTGTAAAAATACAAAAGATTAGAATATTTTAGTTACAGTTTATTACTGTAAATGTATAGCAATGTGCAGCTACCTCACAGCAATGTTGTGGTGTAGGTCAGTGTGGAGTCACAGTATATTGCTGCTGTCAGAACAAAACCTCATATCTCTATGTTTTTTTTTTCCATGTTTTTCAGTTTTTGACATATTTTGAAAATGCCTGTTGTTCTTTACATTGTGTGTAAATTTCATGATGAATGGACCAAAAGAAACAGCCCAAAATGACTTAGAAAAACGTCTGGTTCCATTTTCTTACATTAATAGCAGAGTATGTTTTTTCCTTCTCCTGTAAAGTTACCATTTTGGAGGCACAAGGTTTTGTTCCAACAGCAGCGATATACAGCTACTGTTTTACTGTTATTTACTGTTCAGTGAATTACAGTGAAAGTACCTTTGTTCGTTCTGGATGTTGTTAATTACGTCTCCGTACACAGCGTTAAACAGCTGCTCCTTAGACAGGGTTCCGTCGAGCTGCACTGTAAACACACAAACACACAGTCAGTTCTCTGCTATTATTCATACACACTGCATATGTACTTCATATACAGCCTACGGTTAATCTTACTAGGGGTGAAATGACTCTCCAAATGCATTTTGTTCAGACTTTTTTTGTTCCGCCCCTCATACAAACTTAAAATCATTATCCAGCTTTTATGTGACTCTGTACGGAATGAGTCAGTTTATGTAACTGTACGGAAAAAGTCATAGATGAACAGATGTGCAGACGGACAGACAACGTTGGTGTTTGATAAATGAGTGAACGGGCGACAGACAGCTACAGACAGCTATAGACTAGCTCGCTAACTTTTGGTTATGTCGGGTTAGCATTAGCTCACTAAGCTTCTCTGACTGAAACTGTTCTGTGTGGGTGGGGCAAGAGACGCAGTCTTGTGATTGGTCAGGGGAATGCTTATGGAAGAAGATTTGAACCGCCCAGTTTACATGGAGAGGAGAGAAATATGGTGAATATATCGGCCATCTATTGGTCAGTGGAACACTATTCAAAGGGTATAAACTTAGTACGTGTTTACTGTTTGCCTGCAAGAGCAAGATTAACCTTATTAGAAAACTTCAACTTACCAACATCAACTCCTAAGTCCTCCATCATTTTCGTGTGTTTGACGTACATGGGCCACACGTGGCCATCAAACAGACCCGGAGGGTCTGGCACCGCGTAGTTCCTCGCACTAAAACAACCACACACACACATAAACAGGGCTTTTTTAGATACTGGCTTCATCAGTGTGCTTAAATAAGAACACATATGTGTGTGTATACAGTGGGGTCCTAAAGTCTGAGACCACCATCCATCCATCCATCCATCCATCCATCCATCCATCATCTAAACCGCTTATCCTTCTGGGTCGCGGTGGGGTGCTGGAGCCTATCCCAGCTGTCATTGGGCAGACTGAGACCACCAGTGAAAATATTTCTATACTTCTGTATCCCTTTCTGATTTAACACAATATTTCTAATCACAAATTCTTTTATCAGCATCACATTTGAGTGAAAAGTAGAATCTGTGAAATTTTAACATGATTTTCAGAATTTCTTAGTATTTGGTGGTGTGTCCCCCCTTTGCTTTAACGCACAGACTCTACAAGTTTGTGTAAAAGTCTCTGATCTGCAGGTTAAACCCACCAGAGAGTCTGAACATGAGCTTCATTGGAAGAGATCAGACTAAAAACACTCTGACCTTTTTACACACAGGCTTTAATACCATCAGCATTCCAAATTTGCTTAATTTTGCTTTGAAACATGACCCGAAAATAGCACAGAATCCTGAATATTTATACTTGTCTTTTTTTTTATTTGAGAGCATTCTAAAACATTCTGTTGTTTATTTTCAGGTGTAAATGAAAAATATCTCAGATTCAGACTTTTGAACCCCAGTGTGTGTGTGTGTATGTATATACAGATATATATATATATATATATATGCTCCTTTACTCACCATCTTCTCCTTTTGCACTCTTCATATGGGATGGAAATGAAGTAGCGCTGGTTAAACACATCAATCAAAGGTCTGCAGGAAAACCATAATATGCAGATCTACATAAATCTCATATCAGCTGACACTGTATGTTTATAATTCATCAAACAGCACTGCTGCCCATTCGCTTCACTCTTTTTCTATAAAGTACATTCCATTCAGTGCCCATCATACATACCATTTACTGTACATGCTATTTATAATGCAGCCGCACACAGCATTCAAACTGCGTTCTATTTATAATGTGACTGTCTTCAACATGCAGGTATTTACTATTAGATTTATGTTTTCTGCTATATGATTTGGGATTCTGTTGACAGAAGGAATAAATCTGCGGTCTGTAGTCTTTTGAAAGCTCTTGTTACCAGAACTGAGTATCGGAATTCAAAATCTTTATGGTACCGACTGGATTACTTCTAGAGCATCGATAAATTTGGTATGTGGTTAAATACCAAATTTCAATGTCTATTAGCATCTGTGAGCCAATAAGTGTGCTTGTTCCACAATCTAGACTGTCTGAATTATATTCCATATCATTGCTGTCCACTATTTTCATTTTTCTACATCATTTGAGCACAGCTGCTGTCTTAAGCCGTTTTCTGTCTGTAATTTAAAACAAAGTTACTGAAAAAGTAAAAACTTTAGTAAAAAAAATAGTTCTATATAGTTCTATATAGAACCATGAACACTCGAAGAACCGTTTGCATGGTGAAATAGTTCTTCAGACTGATGGAGAATGACCTGTAGATGTTTACATACAGTGCTTTTTTAAAAAAAGGGTTCTATATAGAACCATTTTCTTTACTAAAGAACCTTTGAAGAGCCATCTTCTTTAAGTGTGTAGCGTTCAGGAAGCAGCTTTAGTTTTTACTGCACTTAATGCTCTATGATGCTTCTGAGCAGTATTTTCGGTGATATTTTGTGGTCCCCTAATTGTTCAGTTGCCATTGCGATGAACTCTGATCGACTGAGGAGACTCAGAGCCGTGTGTGAGTGATGTCTGACCCGTGGGTGTAGAGCAGAAATCCCTCCACGATGAGGATGTGCGTGTCCTCATCTCTGGATCTGGGGATGATTTCAGAGTCCAGCGTGTTGTTGACGCCGTGTGAGCGCTCAAACTTTACGGGGTTCTCCAGCCAGGCGTAGATGGTGCTCATCATGGCGTCCATGTCCAGAGCTGTGATGACTACACACACACACACACATGCACACAGAGACAGCCAGTGAGGCGGCGCAACATCACACTGTTAAAAATCATGCAGACTGTGTTAATTTCACTGTTAATTACACTGAGGTACAACAGTTTGGAGACACCTTACCTTCAGATTTAACACAATTTCACCATCATCAACATTCCATATAAAACTCAGAAGACATGTAGGTTCACTGGTGGTTTTGGATAGTACATAAAATGTCTATATTTGTGTTGTAGTCATGGTGACCCCTGGTTCCGATCACCACCACTGTAAAGAAATCTGAACCATTTTACACCAAACTACTCTGAATCACTCTGTTTACATCTGAATTCTGGGGGAATTTTTAAAAGTTGGTGGAATTCCCCTTCAATATGGTCAGTTATGGCAAAAAAAAATTGTACTACAAACATTTTGGAAAGTAAGGTGTCTCCAAACTTTGGGTAGCATGAGTCAGGTCACTTTCTCTCGCTCTCACAAATACACATACACACACACACACACACTCATATAGAAGACCACACCCAGCCAGAAACCCAGGCTTACCATCGTACTGCTTAAAGCCATCTTCACCAACTTCAATCTCATCTTGGGGCTGAAACATACATGGATGAGATGTACTCATGTACATTCAGCGGCTGATTGGTCGATTTTCAGCCTCACCAACACACACCAAACAGCTCTAACTACAGCCCGTCTGACCCCACCCAACACCAGTTTACCTACTAAGGGTGCAACGATGCACATACACGGCCATTCAACAGCTCAGAATCATATTAATCATATTAACAATGACTTCAATAACAGCTTATACAGTGTAGATTGAGATGCTATAAGGTATTTTACAGGGCTCATATCATGGAAAACTGCCTTAATCTTGCTTGGTCAAAATAAAAGAGTGTGATGTCATATGTGAACGTAGTTTAACAGCCCACACAGTCCATACAAGCAACCTAAGCCTCTTTAAAATTCACTGTTTTTGTGATGTAACAAAAATCAGAGCACTTGGAGTGCTTCAGCCCGCTGCTTTCTGAACAAGGTGCAAAACAGGACAGCTAATCATAACAGAGCTCATTTACATATGTCAGTCTTAAAGGAACAGTATGTTCAATATATATAGTTCTACGCGGAGCTCAGAGGGAAATATAAGAAGTAAGAACAATGTAGGATATGGGCCCTTTAAAATAAATAACATACTGTGATTGTTTACAGTGCTTTTTTAAGAAAGAAATCTGCCTGGTATTATTAATATTATAGATTGTAATATTATATTTATTATAGCTTTGTTATAACTTAATTCTTTATGTTGTACAGGATTTCAGTCATTGTAGAATCTACAGCTCTGTTCCAAATTTAGTTTTCATTTGCTGCTTCCTGGTAGTTAGTTGTAATCTATCATCGCTGTCCAAAAAAAAAACTTTCCATTTTTGCCGATTTTTAGTTTTGTACATAATTTGAGCTCAGCAGCTGTGCTTTACATTGTGTGTGAAATGCATGATGTTATACTAAAACATATTACAAGTATTAAAAGTAAAATTAGATATTTGTTTTTCCTCAGACAGCGACGGTATGAAGCTGTAAAGCAGCATCAGTACATTACATTATTGAAAAGAAGTGATCCTGAACTGTTGAACAGTAGTGCGTTTTCTTTAATAAAACAGTTCAAATTAGTTATAACAATACAAAAGCAGACGTGCTCCCAGATGTTCAGTTCTGATCATTAACAGGGTTCTACGAAATACAGTAAATGAGAGACGTTCGGCGAATAAGCCGTACAAATTCACATTTACATTCACTGATTATACAGTAACTTTTACTGACTCTTCTACACTGTACGCTCTTAAAGATGGTTCAAGGGTTCTTCAGTAAAGACAATGGTTCTATCTAGAACCATGAACACTCAAAGAACCATATGCATGCTTAAATGGTTCTCTGCATGGTGAAATGGGTCTTCAGAAAGATGGATAATGTGTTGTATATTGTTCTATATAGCATCAAAAAGGGTTCTGCTATTGTTATGATGTCATGCTTGTTAATTGTTAATTGCTAATTTGGAGCTCATGGTTCTATTGTATACAAGCTTGAGATAATAACCATTGCAGAACCCTTTTTGGTGCTATACAGAACCATATACAACACATTCTCCATCAATCTGAAGAACAATTCCACCATGCAAAGAATCATTTAAACATGCAGATGGTTCTTTAAGTGTTCATGGTTCCATATAAAACTACTGTCTTTACTAAAGAAGAACCACCTTTTTTAAGAGTGTAGTGAAATCTGTGCACCTTTAATGCTGACACATTACCTGGAGACCCTAACTTACACACACACACACACACACACACACACACACATACACACACATACACACACACACACTCTCAGCACTCACCTTGAAGAAGTCATCCTGGTGCACCACGCAGCAGTTGGGCAGCGCTCGGTACAGTTTGTCAGTCAGGGTGGTCTTACCCCCATTAGTCACACTGAGACACACAGAACGCCTCATTAGCATAATCGCATATTTACATAATGCAGCATCATTACACAGGATCACATTTTTATACCTGAAACAAACGCAGGGACTTCATCACACTCACATCCAAACCAGGACAAAGAGTTTCAGGCTTATACACTCTGTCACACTGAAAACTCTAAAAAGCAAACTTAAGACCGCTCAGGCCTCTAATTGATGCCCTCTTAACCATCATACATTAACTATTCCAGCCTTTTTTTCCAGCCGTTTTCTAGATTATTTTGTATGGATTATGTTTTATTTACATTTTAATGTCCTCTTTATTTTACACAATAGGTATCAAACAATGCCAAAACAAGCTTATATAATTTTTTACAAAAAAAATTACGTTTTTTTTTTTGTAGAGCTCAATTAACTAACTGTGCATTATTAGTGTTTTTTAATTAAATTTGTTTTTACTTTTCTAAAGTGGATTTCTTATTTAATAATGCCACGTTTTTATTTTTTGCCCTATTTCATACATTTTTGCTCCCTCACCTTTTGATTTTGATATTATTGTTACTATTATTATTATTGTTGTTACCATCATTATTACTGTCGTTTCTTATGTAACCTGGCTATAAAATTCAATACGTTTACAACACCTTCATCTACAGACATAATAAATCATGTTTATAACATATTTACAGGCACATGTTTGTAAACAACTTAACACAGACAGTTCACTGCAGAAGGACTGACTCTGTACTGATGGTGTTATATCTGTGTAATAAGCCAAACGCATGTGCAGAAGCTTTAGAACTGCGTTATTAACCACCTATTACGCTATTGTTGCACCAAATAATCAATTTTGTGCTTCTAGCGAAGTAAATTCACTGCAGAGTGACAGAATTATGGAGCTGGTGATATTTTATATGTTATACATGTTTAATAACGCTGAAAAAAATTATAGTCTAATATTTCTCTTTAATGCACCACGTGCTGCTGGGGTTAAAAAGGTCGCTGTTATCAATCTAAAACATCCAGGCTGCACGCGGACGATAAATTACGAGGTACTAGTCACATTAAACACATTTATCATGCTTATAAAGTGTTAATAATTGTTAATACAGCCCATTCAATGGTATATTAATGATACGCTGAATGGGAAACGCGTTCCACGTGCTCCTCTTCCTCTATCTTGCACTCACCCGCCGATGCCAATGACGTACTTCATCCTGGACACTCGGCGCGCGCGAGGACGGTCGGTAGGTCTGTCTCACGTGAGCGCGTGCGTGCGAGATAAGAGTGATAAACGGCGGCTCGCGGAGTTGGAGGAGCCGGACTGGAGCGCGCGCGGACCGGAGAGACTGTGAGAGAGATGGTTTGGAGGTGTCGCGTGCCGTCAGCTTCTTTTGTGCTCCATTGTGCTGCGGGAACGCGGAGCTACACGAGCTTCACACCGGAGAGCGCGATCCACGGAAAGAGAAAGAGAGAACGTGCTGCGCGCGCACACGGGGCTTTACTGCCCACGACGGACTCACTGATTGGGTATTTAAGCAGAGCCAAGCCCGCAGAGGAGAGACGAGCAGCCAATCAGAGAGCAGAGGACGGTTTAGGCCATGCCCCCTCCCCCGCAAGAAAGAGAGAGAGAAAGAGAGAGACAGAGAGAGAGGGAGAGAGAGAGAGAGAGAGAGAGAGGGAGTTTCCTACATAGTAAAACTTAAATACACTGTGGGTTAAAATAATGTGTTTTAAACTCTCTCTCTCTCTCTCTCTGTCTGTCTGTCTCTCTCTCTGTCTTTCTCTTTTTCTGTCTCTCGCACTCTTCTCTCTTTCTCTCTTTTTCTCCCTCTCTCTGTCTTCTCTCTCTCTCGCGCGCGTTTTATTCTCTCATTTTTTGTCTCATTTCTCTCTGTCTTTGTCTCTCTCCCTCTTTCTCTTTGTCTGCCTGTCTCTTTCTTACTTTACTCTCTCTCTCTCTCTCTCTCTCTCTCTCTCTCTCTCTCTCTCTCTCTCTCTCTGTCTGTCTTTATGACTTTGTTTACATCTCAACCTAATTATGCAGAAATTTGGAAATATTGGTGGAACTCCCCTTCAAATCCACAGTAGGTTTGCTGTGCTCCACTGTACCTCGTACACAGGTACACAGCGTTTACACACATTACCACCGTCTCATCCTACACTGAACAACACAGACGTTTATACAGGGTACAACACTGAGTGGATCCTCTGGATTAGGAGGCCTCTAAACAGTCAAAATACAATAGCGTTCACTGCCATTCATGGACACGTTGCTAGGGCGATCGACACGGGGCTAGCAGACATTTGCAGTTTAACTTCCACAGAGTCGTGCTGCGTCCAAAACCCCACACGACCACATTCAGTATCATAATAACACACCTCCGACTGACCCAGTCGCGCGTCATGCTGTAGTCACTGTCATACCGAATTAGAAGCTCCGGCTCTGAGGTGGTTTTCTCTATGGGCAAAAATGAATGGAGTTTATGAACTATTAAAGGTGCAATAAACGATTCTGGAGAGCGAGTATTGATATTTGAACAGCAAAACAAAAGAGGGCCCCACCTTCGGTGCTCCTTCAGAAGCTCCACCGTAAAATTCATGAACACACATTGCCAAGACGAACAACACTGGGCTAGCAAACTTTTTTTTTTTAGATCTACGTGGCCATAAAACCCTTCATAAATGCTGTACGGACAAATACTGTGATATAACAATCACACAGCAAGTAATGTAACTAATGTTAGCTAGATGGGTTAGCAAACTGTCACTACAGTTGCTGCTGTGAAGCTAAACACAAACATTAGCAAATGGGACAAAACAATATTGACCTGTTGGTTCTAGGAAACAGAAAAAAAGTTTATCTTGCTCAGAAACAGAGCAGCCTTTCCCTTTTCATTCCTTTCATGAAGCTGAATTTTCTCGTTCAGTTTCTTGTTTAAATTTTTCAGTTCCACCTAAAATGGTGCTACAGTTACATTCAGGTGCCTCATGTTCTTGGTCGAATTTTCCCGTTCCACCTTAAATGGTGCAGCAGTTCTGTTACTGTTATGTTTGCACACAGGAATAAATCCGGTGCTGGTCCACTGCACTGGCTTTCCTGTAAACAGGAAACATACAAAGTGGCTCAAACAGAACAACACAATAGTATTCCCGCCAATCAGCAGCAGGGGGCACTCCTCCTCAGAACAGGGGGAAGGGGAGGGGCTACATGCTGAACTCCATGCATTGTCAAGAAGAAGAGAAACAGCCAAAGAGGAGAAGATCTGAAGAACACAGAATGAGAAAGGAGGTCTTAGATCAGGTTGGGGCGTTTCAGCTGTGAAGAGAGCTGACGAGGCCGAAGTTGGCTTCCTATTGGCACTTTTCAGTTCCACCTTAAATCATGTAGCAGTTCCATTCTGGCATCTGGCAACTGCTCCACCATTTAAGGTGGAACGGGAAAATTCGAACAAGAAGCTTAGGTGCCTGAATGTAACAGCTGCTCCATTTAAGGTGGAACGGGAAAATTTGAACAAGAAACTGAGACAACTGAATACAACTGCTGCACCATTTAAGGTGGAACAAGAAAAATTGAACGAGAAGCTGAGATGCCTGAATACAACTGCTGCACCATTTTAGGTGGAATGGGAAAATTTGAACAACAAGCTGAGGCGCCTGCATGTAACAGCTGCACCATTTAAAGTGGAACGAGAACATTTGAACAAGAAACTGAGACGCTGAATACAACTGCTGCACCATTTAAGGTGGAACAGGAAAATTTGAACAAGAAGCTGAGATGCCTGAATGTAACTGCTGCGTCATTTAAGGCAGAATGAGAAAATTCAGCTTCATGGAGAGTTGAACAGCATGAAAATGGATGAGGAGGCTGCTCTGTGTCTGAGCAACATTAACTTATTTCTGCTGTTTCACAGAACCAACAGGTCAGTACTGTTTTGTCTGTTTTTATTTGCTAATGTTTGTGATAGTAACTGTTTAGCTTCACAACAGCAGCTGTAGCAACAGTTTGCTAACCCACAGCCTAGCTAATGTTAGCTATATTACTTCCTGTGTTATTCACTTTAATGTTATGTCATGGTATTTGTCCGTACGGTGTTTGTGAAGAGTTTTATGGCCACGAAGACTTATAAAACAAGTTTGCCAGCCCAGTGTCGTTCATTTTGGCAATGTGCGTCCATGAATTTGGGGGGGTGGAGCTTCTGAAGGAGCACTGAAGGAAAGGGTGTGTTTGTTTTGCTGTTCAAATATTAACACTCATTCTTCAGAATCGTTTACTGCACCTTTAACTGTTCATAAACTCCATTCATTTTTCCTCAAAGAGAAAACCAGCTCCTAATTTGGGCATGACAGTGATGACAGCATAACGCATGACTCGGTCAGTCGGAGACGTGTTATTATGATATTAAATGTGATCGTGTGGGGTTATGGACGCAGCCTGTCTCTGTGGAAGTTAAACTGCTCCGTGTGACGTTACAGGAAATATTTGTGCTTTTATTATGACTTTGCCGAATTCTTCCTTCCTGAGGGCTCTTCCCACTTGCTGCACTTCACACATCACATGTTTACACTGCACACCACGTAACAGCAGTTGTGTGTGAATTACAGCGCGGACACACTCACTCCAAGTCCGGATTACAGGCCTGTCCTCCTCCACTCTGCTGCGTCTGGGATCAGCCCACAGGAGCGGAGCTGACGAGCTTTCACCAAAATACACACCGACTCCACAAAACATACAACATCACGCAGCCCAGACAGACAAACACGACACTTGTATGTCATAAATCTGACAGCATGTTCACAGAGAGGCGTGTAGCACCACAATTTGGACCCCAGGTACAGTAATGACTTTGTCTTGTCTTTGTAGTATTTTCCTTTAAAAATATGGTTTACATGATTTGCATATTATTGCATTCTGTTTTTATTTACATTCGGCACAAAGTCCCAACTTTTTGGGGATTGTATATTTTAAAATGTTTGGGGAAATATTAGACATAGAAACATATCATACAAAAAATAAATGTATATAAATGTGTTTATCAAATCCATTTGAAAATGTATAAAAATAGCCTGTCTAATGCACTTTACTGTTTGATACCTTTTGAAATGAATTTGTATTCCAGTATCTTAATTTTAAATATTAGCAGATGAACCTTTAATATGACAAAAGGAAGATAAACTGTCTTAGTAGTTTAGCATTAGTGTTATTTTCTGTTTATAGAATAACCATCAGAGTAGATACTGAATAATTCATTGTAGATACTGAATTATTCATAGCAGGTACTGGATAATTCATAGTGGATACTGAATAATACATAGTAGATACTGAATAATTCATAGTAGATTCCGAATAATTCATAGAGGATACTGAATTATTCATAGTAGATACTGAATTATTAATAGTAGATACTGAATAATTCATAGTAGATGCTAAATAATTCATAGTAGATGCTGAGTAATTCATAGGGGATGCTGAATAGTTCATAGTAGAAATTGAATAATGCGTAGTACATACTGAATAATTCATAGTAGATACTGAAAAATCCATAGTGGATACTGAATAATTCATAGTGGATGCTGAATAATTCATAGTAGAAGTTGAATAATTCATAGTAGACACTGAATAATTCATGGTGAATACTGAATAATTCATAGTGAATACTGAATAATTCATAGTAGAAGTTGAATAATTCATAGTAGATGCAGAATAATTCATAGTAGATGCTGAATAATTCATAGTGGATACTGAATAATTCATAGTAGATGCTGAATAATTCATAATAGATACTAAGTAATTCATAGTAGATACTGAATTATTCGTAGTAGATGCTCAGTAATTCATAGTGAATACTGAATAATGCATAGTAGATACTGAATAATTCATAGTAGATGCTGAATAATTCATAGTAGATATTGAATAATTCATAGCAGATACTGAATAATTCATAGTAGATGGGTCAATGACGTGACGGCTAAATTTTCTGTCAGACAGCATTTCTTTCAGTTTAAAAAAGGTTTAAATGCATAAAAAGGTACTATATGTATGTAGTACCTCTCCCACTTATCTGCTCACTTTGACTTTTCAAAAAATATTTGTTAATTGTAATATCCTGTTACTTAAAGTGTCAAAATATCATGTGGTGCGACCGTCCGGCCATGACTGCTGTTTTGAAAACCTCTTTGAAATTACTCTAAATCTATTCATTTTTATTTATCCCATTTGGCATGATTTCCAAAGTGTTTTGTCGTGCTGTTCAAAACTGCAAAGCATTTCTAATTTTATTTCCATCGTAATATACAAACAAACTTTGTCCGATGATGTCTATTTTATGAAATATCATGTGGTGTAACCATCAAGAAACGACCACTTTGGGACCTTTATGTTAAAACCATCTCAAAAACAGGAGATTACTTCATATAGCAGTTTGCCAAGGACACATGGAAGCAGTAAGCAGATTTGTAAGTCTCTCTGAAATTTGGGAAAAAATAACCTTTTTAACAGCTGCCATGTCATTGCCACTTTTGTACATCATGTGGTATGACCTCAAAAAAAGTAATGGATATTAAATTATTTCTACAAATAAATATTTTCATTATAAATTTCATAGTTACCTTTTGTGGAAAGCTAGCTTATTTTCTTTCGGTGGCCAATTCTGTTCTGGTAAATTTTGACTGAACTTGAAAACATCATGTGGTGCGACCAAATATCATGTGGTGCGACTGATGCAGAGTGTTTTCTATAATAGATATAAGTCATAGATTGGCAGTTTTTGTGCTTTATATTCAAATGATGACTTATATACATAAATTACTTTATTTTAGTGTTTTTGGAATCGATTTTAATGCAATTTGAGTAATTTTTTTCTATTGTTTATGTTAAATCTTTGTACAATATAATGAGAAAAGTGCAGAAAATAAAGCACATGTAATTTCACTTCACTTTTATTTGTATATCTATAACTGTTTTTATTTATTTTACCAGGTACCATTGTAAATATCTCTCACCATAGGCAGCGTGTTAATTCTGACTCTGTGGCAAGAGTAGAGTACCTTGCTAGGAGAAAAGTAATGAATGTAAAAGACTTATTTTTTAATTTTTAAAAATAGAAATTGCTCTTGTGTATATTTTTCATTAACTGGAGGACATGCATTTTTTGTTAACATTGCATCTGCTGTCATGTATCATTAGTCCAAAATAAAAATAAACTATACAACGCAGATTTATGGCATGATGCTGTATTACATTCCTGTTTTAGCTACATTGTAAAAGGTTTCTTCAGGTCTACCTAAAAAGAATTACTTTGTGGTAACAATTGAATTAGCTGTACTCAACTTTTACAATATGTTGATTTACTTGTTACCACATTAAGTAATTTTTTACTGTGAATCTTTTTACTGTGTACCAGAGAAAAATGGCAAGGAAATGTTCCACAGGTAAAAATAGTATAATAGAAATAGAATTGGTCCTGTTTTGTCACCCACTTTTACAAATGCGGGATTTGCAGTTGAAGGAAGAGACAACAGAGTTTGAGCTTTGTGGTGTGTCAGGTTCATGTACCAAACTTTTCTTATTCAACAATTCCAATGAAAGTACAGTTTTCAATTTTATCACCTTTAAACTCAGCAGACAAACAGAAATTCATGCCCTAAAATTCGCAGGAACATGTCACATTTGAGTGTGTTTGCTGTAGGAGATACATTAACTTATTTTCACTTTTGCATATCACTTTGCAGCACTAAAATTCCTTTCTGTCAACACATTGTAAAAAGTGGTTTGTTAGTTCAACCTTAAAAAATTACTTCATGTAGTAAAAAGAAATTTAGAGTCTTATTCAATTAAAAAACATACTTTGAATGAAAGAATCGTTTATTCAAAGTATTTATTTAGTTTGAATAAAACTAGTTAATTTACGTGTTATCAAACGAAACTTTTTTTTTAGGTTGAACAAACTTTTTTACAATGCATAACATGCGAATTAATTTCTGCACATCTATCATTTTCATTGCTGTTGCTAGGCTGGTCTATGTAAATTTAAAAAGGAAGCAGGTAACTTCAAAATTGGAGAGAAAACTTGTGCAAATATTTTAAAATAAACATACACAGGGTCAATCACATGGACATTCCAAATACCCATTAGCAGCATGACGATTGTCAAGTTTGAAAAGAAATGCTTGTTCACAACAAGGCCATGAATGTGCACTTCAATTAAAACTGCTTGTTATATAGCATGATTACATGAGAATAAACAATAGATAATACTTGGTTCTGATCAAAATAATTTGAAAATCAAAATAAATTTATTCCAACGTTAAGTCAAATGAAATGTTTGCTGCACAATAATGATTTGGGATAAGATTTTTAGTAAAAAAAGTTTATGAAACATTTGACAAATCGTTGAAATTATGATAAAACTGGTTCAAATCTATTTTTTTGTATGGAATTTACTGTTTATTGATCTTTTTAAACAGTTTTAAAGATATTTATGTCATTTGGAGCGACTCCTCATCATGTGGTGCGACACATAATTGCAATAACTGTACTAACTTTAAAATAAAATATCTAATTTTTGTGGCTGAAATGTTAATCACTGACACAGTATGGTTGAGTTAATGGGTTTTTAAAAAACATTTTATAAGTTTTATGCGATTTTCAGGAAAAATAAGTCTGTTACTTCATTTAAGAAGGCGACTGAGACAATACAGAACAAAATATGAGATCATTATTTATAAAACTCAAAAGTTATGCAAAACCTTTGTTTCTAAACACTTTATACTACTGAGAACTTGTAAAAAAAAAGTTAAGTGTGTCAAGGAAATGAATAAATTTTGAGATAAATCATGGTCGCATGACATTTTTAAGGCCACAGCCATTTCATCTAGATGGAAAAATACTAAAACAACTTAATCTAAAATTTAAATATGAATTTATGGGTTCACAACATTCTCAGTGTTTGAACAATTGCTTATTTTTTGTATTTTAAAATTGGCCTATTGAAAATCCTTATACGTCAATGACCCAGATACTGAATAATTCATGGTAGATGCTCAGTAATTCATAGTGAATACTGAATAATGTATAGTGGATACTGAATAATTCACAGTAGTTACTGAATAATTCACTGTAGATACTGAAAAATTCACTGTAGAAACTGAATAATTCACTGTAGACACTGAATAATTCATAGTAGATGCTGAATAATTTGTAGTAGATGCTGAATAATTCATAGTGAATACTGAATAATTCATAGTAGACACTGAATAATTCATAATGGATACTGAATCATTCAAAGTAGGTACTAAATAGTAATAGCAGGTCTGAGTTAAATTGCGTTGTCAATAGTGATTCGGTGCTGAAAAGCGTTTTAGGGTCTGAAAACAAGCCGGTTTGTGATGTGGCTCTTGGTCTTTATCCACGGTAACAAAGGCTCCACCGACTCATTTCCATGGACTTCACTTACTGATATTTTTCATCTGCACCATTTAAGGTGGAGCAGAAAAATCTAATAAGAAGCCAGAACTTCGTTTTATTTCTGCTGCAGTCATTATCTCAGGACAGTAAGAGCATGTCTACTGGAGGATGGGTTGAGGATACTCTACATGGCTCTGATAATAACTGTCCACTCTGGATGACCTAACAGTGTAATGCTATGTTGGTTTGGAGGAGAGTGAGGCGTTCAGCAGGACAGTGAGTTTGGGCCCAGTGCCCGTCCGGCTAAAACGCTACGTGTGAGCAGGCAGCTGACTCACTGCCCTCTGTAACCTAGTTTTGATAAAGTAGCTCAGACATATTTTACTCCCCTTAAACAGTGAATACAGAGGTGAACTAGTGAAATAAGTGGTAAAATCAGATTATCTCTGCTGTATTTTAATCCGCCTGTAAATATGATATCAGTTTCTATCACAGTTAATGTTAAGACGCGTCAGTAGCGCCATCTGGTGGCTCCACTCAAGACCAACGGCTGAATTGAGTTTCATTTCTTATGCATGTATGTATGTATGTATGTTTGTATGTATGTATGTATTTATTTATTTAATGTATATATCACGATTTAATTACTGTGTATGAGAAGATTAATCATCACCCATCACACATAGCGGTACTGTTTTCTTGGACAAAACACAAATGGTTGTTTTTGTAAATGAATCGGAGAATGTTTCACATCCTTTTTCTGTCATAAAGAAATTCAAGAAAAATAAGGACAGGAAAAGTCAAGGAGGAAGTGGCGAATCCGCTGAAGTACAAAAGATAAGCACTGCGCAGTTTCCGCTGAGAATTATTTATAGATCAGCTAATCGTATTTGTTTTCTCACCCGTTTTCCGACAAAACTCCCCACCCTTATTGCGACAAATTCCACCTATATTCTGCAAAAGCCACGCCTCTCCTGCGCTGGGATTGGTTGAAAGTTCGCCGCGGATACTTCTGAGCATGAACTGTTATCCAATCCAAGCGCAGAAGTTGAGAAAGCAGCCAATCCCAGTCCAATCACGGCGGGACGTTGCGGAATACGGGTGGGGGTTTTCGGATTAGAGGTGTGAAAAGAACATTTTTTTTTCTGACAGCAGCTTCGAGGAAGTAGCCGAGGTAAGGCTCCCTAAATTCATTAAATGTCCCTTTCTGCTTAATAAAACACTTTAATTTAGTGAAACAGGGGTAAATCGGCCACCTAAACACTTTCTTTCACGTAGAGATAAGCTTGCTGAGGAAACAAAGTTAAAATCTGTCCGTTCATTCGGTCGGTCGCTAGCAGGCATGTGGCTAACGAGTTAGCCAACTGAACTTGTCAAAAATAAACATCAAATCAAGAGTTTATTAACAGAAAAAAGCTTGAGTTTGGAGCTTATTCCGCTCTGTTGTTAAATTTCCGGTTTGTAGATGTGATTTACAGCTGTGAATTCACTTTTAAAAGCGGTTTAAACTCAGCAAAGTTAGCCCGAGTTAGCCTAGCCGGCATATAAAGGTCAGTTTATGTGCTGTACGTTCATATATTAACATGACAAGCAATTAAGAACGTTATTCTAACCATCCATACAGTGATTTTGACGAGGCTGGAGTTTGCTTCCTATTCGCCAGCTTCTTGTTCGAATTTTCCCGTTCCACCTTAAATAGTGCAGCAGTTACATTCAGGCGCTCCGGCGTTAGACTGTAGAGGTTGTAGTACTTAATGTGGAACTGGAAAATTCGAACAGCAAATTGAAGTCAGTAATTTTGTGGAAAATTATGGGAGATTTTTGTGTTCAGATTAGCAGTTTTCAGTTATACTATTACATGCACTATTATAATTAATATTACACTCTTAAAATGGTTCTTCAAGGATTCTTTAGTAAAGGGAATGGCTCTGTTTAGAACCCTGATTTCTTTAGAGCCATGTCATGCTTAAATGGTTCTTTGCATGGTGATATGGTTCTTCAGATTGGTTGAGAATGTGTTGTATATTTTGAAAAGAGTTCTATATAGCATTTTCTGTTGTTACTTGACAGACATGTTGTGTATAGATTTGTATAGAACCTTTTTGAAAATGTTTTTTAACTGTAACCAGCTTGATGTCTTAAACATTTTTTGGGTGCTGTACCATATACAACACATTCTCCATCAATCTGTAAAACCATTTCAGCATGCAGATGGTTATGTATGGGACTTCACTTCCTTTACTAAAGAAGCATCTTTTTTAAAAGTGTAGAAGATGGAGTAGGTGGTAGATGATAAAACCAACAAGTTCTTCCCATTTCTGAGCCAGTTAAGAACCAGTTTCCTGTTTTGTCAGATTTGGTTGGTTGTAGCTGGACTGCTATACTGACATGTATGACGTCATATGTCTGTAAAAACGTTACAGAAGCAGTTATAAAAATCCTGACCTTCTTTTGGGTGAGTGAATAAGCAGCACTTATGCTGTTGATGTAAATAAAGGCTGTCTGTGGGCCTCCAGACTGCTGTAAGGAAATGTCACCCAAACCACAGGCGTGTCATGTGCAGGGGGCCTGCCCAGCCCTAATGCAGCCTTATAACGACTCACAATTAAGTGAAAACCTTGTTGGATGTCTTTAATGCCGGCTGTTTGTTTGTTTGTCTGTTTGTTTCAGGGGGCGGTGACCTGCTGAAGCCGCGCGTGTGTGTGAGTGAATGTATCTGTGTGTGTGACAGCGCTGGTGAGGAACGCCTGTCTTCAAAACCTTCACCATAATCGTCTTCCGGCAGACGGCTGTGGAGGACTGAGCAGGAAGACGAATAAGACAGACAAAAAGCCTCGTAATATTCTGAGGAAGAAGACGAGTGCGTGTCAGGGAGGAAGTAGCTGTAGTTTTAGCCTTTTTAACTCAACATGACGGAGTTCTGGGTTTGCTTTAGCTGCTGCGTCGCTGAACAGCCCCAGCCGGTGAGTCTCAGCCAACAAAAAAAGCTTCTAAAATTCACTTAAACTATTCAGGCTCCGCCCAGTAATTGTGCCATACGGTTATGAGGTTGGGCAAGCTTTGCAGAACGCAGATAAAAATCATTCAGCCTGATGAGAAACTGTAGAACAGACTAAGTTTATATCACAATACCTACATTTAGAGTCAGTTATTCATTCAGGCTGATGAGAAACTGTAGAACAGACTAAGTTTATATCACAATACCTACATTTAGAGTCAGTTATTCATTCAGCCTGATGAGAAACTGTAGAACAGACTAAGTTTATATCACAATACCTACATTTAGAGTCAGTTATTCATTCAGCCTAATGAGAAACTGTAGAACAGACTAAGTTTATATCACAATACCTACATTTAGAGTCAGTTATTCATTCAACTTAGTGAGAAACTGTAGAACAGACTCAGTTTATATTACAATACCTACATTTAGAGTCAGTTATTTATTCAACCTTTTATAAAGGGTCATGAAATGTCTGAAAATTATGATAAAACAGTGTTGAAAAGATTGTATTAATGGTGCTTATTCTCTGATATCTTCCTAAGTTTGTTCTTAAATGTGTTCTTGAGAAAGGTCCTAAGAAAAAAAGTCTATGTCAGATTTGTGATGTATTCTTAAAGCACAGAACCGTTCTTACCTTTGTGCTCTTGAGAGTGTCTAGATTCTGTTCTTACCTAAGAACAAATCCCAAATATGAAAACACTGGTGAATGTCAGAATCTTTGTGAAAACTGCGTAAGTGGGTTTTAAGAAGAAATTTCAACTTAAGAACGGTTGGTGAATGAGGCCTAATGTTCAGAACGGTTCCCCAACCAAAAATAACCAGCCAACTGGTGTCAGATACGGACCACTGAAAATTGAAAAGTTACTGGTATTGTGATAACGTAAGTATTGTGATATAAACTAAGTCTGTTGTACAGTTTCTCATTAGGTGGAATGAATAACTGACTAAATGTAGGTATTGTGATATAAACTGAGTCTGTTCTACAGTTTCTCATTAGGTTAAATGAATAACTGGCTCTAAATGTAGGTATTGTGATATAAACTTAGTCTGTTCTACAGTTTCTCATCAGGTTGAATGAATAACTGACTCTAAATGTAGGTATTGTCATATAAACTGAGTCTGTTCTACAGTTTCTCATTAGGTTGAATGAATAACTGACTCTAAATGTAAGTACTCTGATATAAACAGAGTCTGTGGGATGAATAACTGACTAAATGTAGGTACTGTGTTCTACAGTAGTGAACACTGACTGTCCTGATGAATCAGTTTTTATATTATTGTTCAGTTTGTTTATTAGTTTATGTTGTGTTTGTTCTCTGCAGAAGAGGAGGCGGAGGATAGATCGGTCGATGATTGGAGAACCCACCAACTTTGTTCACATGACGCACGTGGGCTCGGGGGACATGGGGATGGGTTTAGCAGCGGTGAGTCACCAAACACTGATCTCATATCATCAATCAAAGTCATGTATCTATAATAACTACACTGCCACATGCCCTTCACCAGCAGGGACTAAGCTTTGGATACACTGTCTGTCCAAATGTTTGTAAACTCCAGAGTTTCTAAATAGTTAATAGTGAGTTTGTGCTGCAGTAACCTCTGCTCTTCTGGGAAAGGTTCTTGATGTTGGAACATTGCTGTGAGGATTTGATTGAGCATTAGTGAGATCAGGTACTTATGTTGAATGGTCAGTTCTGGATCACTCCAACTCATCTGAAAGGAATTGGATGGAGCTCCATCACTGCAGAGAACACAGTTCCACTGCTCCACAGCCCAATACTAGGGGGCTTTATAAGCATTTATGACTAAACTGGGAAGTTGCTGGGAAGTTAATGCACTTGAATGTCAGTGTGACTCATAACTCCTACAGAGTCTTTTAAGAGCTCTGTAACGTTACTTCCACCTACTGGCACCCAGAACAAGAGTTAACAGTAATTAACAATATGTGTTAAGTGATTTAGGCTTAAAAACAGTTTCTGTTTTTGTATGTGATGCGAAATCACAAATTGCAGAAGGAAAACCTGGATAATTGTAGAGTTTAGTCATTCTGAGAAAAATAATTTCATATGTCATTTTTGGTGCTTAGTTAAAGAGGAATTCCACCATGTTTCAAAATTCCTGCATAATTCAGAGTCTGAGATGTAAACAGAGTGATTCAGAGTGGTTTGGTTTGAAATGGTTCAGATTTCTTTACAGTGATGGTGATAGGAACCAGGGGTCACCATGACTACAACACAAATGTAAACATTTATTTACTATCCAAAACCACCAGTGAACCTACACAAGTCTTCTGAGTTTTATATGGAATGTTGATGATGGAAAATCTGAAAAAATACGTTTTCTTTGGGGACTATTTTGCCTCACAACACTCAGCATGTATCCCTCTACCATGAATGGATTTTAAGTTCTCAAACTATCATAAAACAGTGTCTCAGTCATCAGGCAGTGTATTCCTAACTTCATGCAATAACTTTTGTGAGGGAGCTTTGAGATGTGGATGTCTAGTTCCTATCAATACCACTGTGAACCATTGTGAACCATTGTGACTCGGTAAGTTTCTCTAGAACTGAGCATTTCACACCAAACCACTCTGAAAAACTCTATTTACATCTTGACCACTAAATTATGCAATTTTTAAAAATCAGTCAATATCACTTTAAATGGTGAAAATCTGTAACCTGCATCCATGTTTATATTTATTATATTTATACTATAAATATTTATATTATTTATAAGTAAATGAAGCACTAACAAAACAAGTAGAAGGTTTTTAGGAGGTCTGCTCTCACAGCAGCCAAACAAGCACTCTTTTTGCAAACTCCAACAGTTGAGGTTATGTGAAAATTTTGTGGTGGGAAGTAGGAGGTCCAGAGTTGGAAAATTCTGAGTTTTCCCAGCGTTACCATCAATCAAGGCTTTCATTCAAGTGTATTACAACCGCTCAGAGGGTCCTTCATTCAAACAGGCCCCCGCAGCGAGCAGTGTTATCTTTAGCTGGGACAGATATTTGGCAAAAAATCTAATGTAGACAGAATTGTGGTCAGACCTAAGAGAACATATGGACAAAAGAAAATTTAACATTATACATATGGACGTTAATGTATTAATATACATTTAAAGGAATCGTTCAGTGAAAAATCAAACTCACTGAGTGTTCCACTCAACCCAGCTGGACTCTGTCCAGCGTCTCAGAGTGTTCACTGCGAACAGAAGATGAAGGAGGTGAAATCTGATTTTGGGGCAGTGGTGGGCTGGAGGTTAGGGAACCAGCCTTGTCACCGGAAGGTTGCCAGTTCGACCCCCTCAGCTGACAGTACGTGACTGAAGTGTCCTTGAGCAAGGCACCTAACCCCCAACTGCTCCCCGGGCGACGTGGATAGGGCTGCCCACCACTCCGGGCAAGTGTGCTCACTGCCCCCTAGTGTGTGTGTGTTCACTAGTGTGTATGTGGTGTTTCACTGCACGGATGGGTTAAATGCGGCGGTCTAATTCCGTTGTGTTCAGACACAGTTGGCTAAAAAGGTTCATTTCATTTTCATTTCATTTTTCATCAGCCAATACACATTTTGAGTCCAAATTGTTCTTTTTTAGTTTAGCACTGGAGCTACAAGGCTAATTTAGCCAACAAACAATACAATTCAACAGTCACCCAAATAGCATGTCTGTAAAAATACATCCCTAAAAGGTCTCTCAGCCAACTCAAAAAAAAGGTGGCACAGACTTGTAAATGCGGTTTATGACAGAGTGTGCCTCACTGTGGCCTCTAAACATGAGCTAAACTGTGGACCCACACCTTAGACAGCAGAATCTGTTCACACACCACCTCAGGAGTCTGATTGCTGATCTAGAATCAGCATTTGTGACAATGATCTTCATAAATATGGAGGCATCTGATCTGAGATCTGTCCTGCTTTGTGCATAACAGCCTCTGGGGAAGTTTATGTTTATGGCCCTCAGTGAGTCACACTGGGTCCTAAACCACATCTACAAGCCTGCTCCGCCTTAAGGAAGTCCTTAAGGATGTGGTTTGAGCCGACTGAGAGACATTTTGGGGATTTATTTAGAGAAAAGATTTGGGTGACTATTGACTTCTACTGTTTACTAGCAGTATTAGCCTCAAAGCTCAAGCAGGAAACCAAAGAAGCGAAATGTTTTGGCTGATGGAATACATCTGGGGTAGGCTTTTTTGGGGTAAGGGTTAGATTTTTTTTTTTACTAAATTATTCCTTTAAATGGATATTAACCCATTCATGTCCATATGTGAAGTGGTGAATTTCCTTTTGTCCATATGTTTCCTAAACCCTGAGCACAAATCTGAAAATATTTCTCAAATTTGTCAAACATGTTATGGCTTGAAACAGTTTTTCTCACTTAAATTATCCTTAAAATTAGAAAACCCAAAATTGATTGTGAACGAAAGTATGAAGTATGACGCATCATCACCATATTACAGTTAAATGTTCATTAAAACATGCAGTAATATGTTGTTATAGCATAGAAAAACAAATTGTCTTTTTTTTTGTTTAATAAGAATTTGATGTAGTTTGTAAACATTGTTAAAGTTCAAAATGTACTGTTCACTCAATGTACATACACTCTTTAAAAAGATGGTTCTTCAAGGGTTCTTTGGTAAAGGGAATGGTTCTATATAGACCCGTGAACACTCAATAGACCCTTTGCATGTCATTTGAACTTAAAACACTCTTTAGACCAAGTTCTGCTATTTTTTTCACATCGTACTAAATGTACTTTGTCGACCGTGAATGGGTTAATTTTGATGCAAGTCAGTGAGATTTTATTCCAAGTAATTCTGGACTGATTCTGTTGCTTCACACAACATAAAATATCCACACAAAGCACAGCAGGAGCTTTTGAACGACAGTGATGATATAAATCTTTATGAGTGATTGTGCCATAAGGAAGTCCAAGTCAGTCAGTTCCAAATATAGACACATTTTATGGCCTTTACAGTAACAGAGGGTCTGATTTAAGGATGTCTACAAGCTGGTGTGTAGAAATGGAGGAGGTTAGGTTGCTTAAAATGCAACAGAGTTTGTCAATATATGTATATAGTAAAGTGTACAGTGTAGTAAAATGCGTCCAGGCTGTTCTCAGGTACATGCCAATGTGTACAATATCACAGTTACATAAAAGGTTATCAGTATAAAACTAGAATAACAGTATAGAAACTGTGCAGCTGCGCTGTCCTTAAAGGGCCCATATCTTACATTTTTCTTGCATTTTATTTTTTCCCCTCTGATGTCCTTTTATAACGTTTGTGTTGTTTTATGTAACAAAAAAAATTCATAATTCATTTTAACAGACTTACTTGTATGTAAATGAGTTGTGACATCACAAAAATTCAAAACTGATTTCTTTTGCTTTACTCTCCTGTCTAATCAGTCCATATATGAAAACTAAACAGTTTTCAGTTAAGTTTTTGTGATGTCACAACAACTCATTTACATACATTTGCTTGTTTAGCCCCCCTCTATTGTGCCTCATTTAAAAAGCAGTCCGAGCTGAAACATGCCTTATAATTTCAGCACAAACGGGCGGGGCTAAACTGCTGTAGGCTAAATAAGCGAATGTATGTAAATGAGTGACATCACGAAAACTGTTTTTGGTTTAGTTTCTGTAAAAGGACTGTTTGGACTGGAGACTAAGTGGTAATGTTTACGTTCTACATAGTAGTCTCTTTGCAGCATAGAGAGATAGAGGTAAATAGATGATACAAAGCACAGTGCACTAAAATAGAAAGCTTGTTTATTGATGTTCTTTGTGTTTGCGCTGTGTCATCATGTGTAACTTTTTCTTTCTGTCTGATGTTGTTCTGATAAGGTGGACTCAGTGCAGGCGCAGATGAAATCGAAAGGTGGTTATGGAAACGGCGCACCTGAGAACGCACAGTGACCAGGTGAGAGTCTTAATTAACACACAGCAACAGCAGCAGTGCTGAGTAAATTGATATCCACATGAACACGCCTGTTTCAGCTAGTTGTAACAGGACTGGAAGGAGAGAGTCATTTCACAAAGCAGGATTTCTGAGTTTAGCCAGATAACTTAAGCCCAAAATTGAGCCTGTCCAGTAGAGCTGAGAGACGTTCCTATTGGACGGTCCTCAGTTCTGGGCTTAAAGCAGCACAATGTAAGGTTTTTTGTTGTTTTTTTTTTTCGTTAAAACTGAAAGCCCTGTAAATTTTGAAGTAATGATTTAAAACTCCGAGGTATCAGGACAGACTTGGTGGGAGTTTTTCTCACCACATTATATGTCTTTACACATTATCGTCACACACATAGACTCGAAAAGAAGGTCAGGCTCAATGTTTAGGCCTCAAATGATCTCAAAATCAACATTATACTGATAAAGGTATGATGACAACAGTAGATAATTCACTCACATCCTCAAAAGACGCATCCTTTATCAAGTTCAGACTGAGCATAGATATAGATAAAGGGGTCTTAAACTCATTATTTGGCGGTGACTATTTGAATTACATAACATAAATATTCACTTAAGCACATTTTATTAGCAATTATTCTGTCACTACAAACAGTATTTTTATTATTGTTATTGTAGTAGCTTAAAATGTGGTAGATCAGTAAATATTTGTGGTGAATTAAATCTTAAATTACTTTTAACAGTAGAATTATATGGAACCCTTATTTTGATAGCATTGGCATCCTTGCTGAATTTGAGTGAAGTTACTCTGATAGAACTGTTATATTTGTGTTCTCAGTGGATTAGTTTGATGTGACCGTTCACTTCTTAAAGGGCCTGTATCATTCTTCAGGTTGATAGAGAATGTGCTGTAGATGGTTCTATATGGAACCTTTTTTTAAAGGGTTTCAAAAATTTCAAATGTGCTTTACATACTATATCAAACTCCTCTTCAGTTTTCCATGATATGAGCCCTTGAACATTTTTAACAACTTTGCAGTATATCTGAATTAGTCACAGGGTTCGTATAGGTCACAGAAAACCTGGAAAGTCATGGAAAATAAATGTGCCAAAATCCAGTACTGAGCTCTCCTTGGAAATAATAAAATTGAAAAATGTGCTTGAAAGTCATGGAACATGTTATCATGACTTTCTGTAATCATTTTTATTACCTAAAATACATTCATGCACATGAGTATGCAACGTTAATTGATTCATTCGAGTGTGTGTATAATTGATAATATCTTGCACACCAAATGTGATTTTCGGACATCAAATCACATCAAACAGATTTTCGGACATCAAATCACATCAAACAGATTTTCGGACATCAAATCTGTTTGATGTGAACTTGAATAGTGAATAGATTCTGTAAACCTTATTTCATACATATTCTGTCCATTTTTTTCCACTCTGTGAAATTCCAAAAAATTGCGTTTTGTCCATTGTGTATGGTTTTGATGCAAAAAAAAAATTACGTCCAAATATTTTGCATTTTCATGTCGCTTTCATGCGTTGTGTTCTGTGTGTAACAGCCTTTACACTGACTTCTCTGTCTGTCTTTGCAAGCAGTTAATAATTTAAAATCATCAACATATTAAACTTTAATTTAGGTTCATATCATTTTTTTCCTGGAATACTTAAATCCTGGTCCTGGATTTTATTTTATTTTTTGGTGCTGGATAAGATGGGAACGGCTAAAGTGTACGAACCCTGTAGTTAGATTTTGTGCATGTGTCCAGTTTAGAGTTTAGATGTGAGTAAATGCACGTTAGTATGCAACGTTAATTGATACCATCCTCTGGCAGGAGGTAACTTTACATTATGGTGTAGCTCAAAGGTATTTACATCAAACGTGATTTATTAATACAATTTATTTGGACGACAAATTCATTCGAGTGTGTGTGTAACTGATATCTTGCACACCAAACGTGATTTTCGGACTGTGAAAATATGACATTGTTTCTTCATTATTCATTAGTCCAGTTTAGAGTTCACATAGGAGTAAATGTACTGTGTGTGTTGAACTGTTTTAAATAAATTGCAGCTAAAACAATGTATTGTGTGTTTCTGCAGGGGGTGTGTGTGTGTGTGTGTGACCTGCGAGTGTGTGTGTGACCTGCTGATCTGAACAGCGAGGGATGCTGGACTATTAAAAAAAAAACAAAAAACAAAAACAAAACAAAAAAACATCACAACAAAAACCCACCACACTGGACGATCCAAAGAGTCAGACCACTGTTTTGAGACGTTTTTGTATATTTTTGTAACGGAAGCACTGTTATACGCTTACAGCTTTCTGATCGTAATGTAAAAACAGCCAAGGAACATAAAATGATAACGATTGATCTTAAATGCCTGTTAATGCTTGTGTGAGCAATGAATTATGATCTAGTTTCCATTTTCTTAATGGATGCTTATTTATTTCATGATTTGTCTCACAGAATTATAAATATGGTGGCTGGGCCACTTCACATTTTGAGGCATCGTCTCTAGATTACAAACAACCTTTAAATGATGATGAGGAAGAGGAGAGATAAAAGCCATTAGAAATATAGTTGCATTTGTAATAATTTGCTTTTTTCTTGTATTTTATACCTTTCATAAATATTTCATATTCCCTGGGTTGCGGAATATCTTTTCCTCCTCAATGCTTTTAATTGTGCGCTGTTTCAATAAACTTGGCCTGTGCAGGCCTCACTGTAATATTTTTCCTGACGCTCTTATTCGTTTCTTTACTCTGAAGTATTTTTGTACAGACACCATTCGATTTTCATGCCCAAATAAAAATGGCAAACTGCACTGTGTAGTGTTTTTCTTTTTCTGTGTGTTTAATTCATAAAGTCAGGCTAACAACTGCAGAGTAACCACTTTTTTCCTGCTATATTTTACCTTCTGTTGTGAATTAAAGAGCTCCTATCTTACATTTCTCTTATAATTCTTTACCACAGAGCTCCACTTATAACGTTTGTGTTGTTTATTTACCAAAAACAGTCATAATTAATTAATTTCTACATCCTAACTCTCTTTGAGCCTGTTTACAGCTGGTCACTTACTGCATCTTGAGTATCAGGATTTTATCTGGAGGCCAAACTACATAAGAATGTAAGTTTAAATGCACCCAAGACGCACTTAAAACAGATACAGATCTGATCACTTAAAGCACTTCAGGAGGTGGACTGAGATGCATCTGAGCCACGTTATAGCAGCGTAAACACATACATCACTCCAAGATGCATTCAACAACCGAAACTCCTCCCAGTACAACTGAAACCCTTTCTAGTACAGCCAAACCTCCTCCCAGTACACCGAAGCTCCTCCTAGTACACAGTAAAACCTTCTAGTACAAACAAAACTCCTCCCGTGGGTGGGGCTAGACTGCTGTAGGCTGAATGGGTGGGACTAAACTGCAGCAGGCTGAATGGGTGGGGCTAAACTGCAGCAGGCTCAATGGGTGGGGCTAAGCTACCATATGTGGACTGTATGGACTGAGGAGTAAACAATACGTTTTAAAACTAACAATGTCGTCTTACTTTGAAAAAGTGAACTTGGGCTGCATTCAGTCCCGACAAAATGTAGGAAAACGTTTATTTAAATGGAAACAGTGGTGCGGTGAACACTGTTGTGTTACGCAAGCATTGCAGCTATGGCAGCTAAGAAGACCGTGCATTACAAATCTGAAATGTTTTCAAAACATGATATAAAGAGCGATTGTGGAAATCTACACATACACTAACCCATACAATAAGTTAAAATGAAATATTAGCTTATTCTATTAAAAGACCTTTACAATAGAATACTTACAACAAACACGTCTTCTAACATCCTAAATAGCTGCATACACCAAGCTGTAGTGGCCATTTGTAGAAACTCTATAGACCACTGTAGTCGTGTCGTCATTTTGTAGTCTGCGCCATTCTCTTATGTCCATATTAGGAACTCCGGGTCTGAGCTCCATTTCTCTATGGCCAGAATGAATAGGGTTTTCGAAAAATCGGCTCTATCGCACCCTGTGTTAGATAGAAATGTTCAGAACCCGATACGTTTTGTCCTGTGAACATTTTTCTCCCGAATACCACTGGATCCTCCGAATTACGAGGTCGTTAAAGAGTTGAAATATGAATTTTGCTACATGTGAGCTAAAGCTACTGCGCACTGAATTCACGTCATTAGACTAGCAGTCTCCTTAAGGTTTTGGCAGTTAACATTTCCATGTTCAGACTGAGGGCAAATGAAAAAAGGCAACAACATAAGCAGGTTTCCCTGCAGTTCTCTGTTCTTCATCTGATGCTCACTGAAACACGATAGATCTTTCCTTTTAGTTTGATTTGAAAAGCTCTACAAACGTACCTGCAGTCAAGGGAATTCAGTACAGACTCAGCTTAATATGACTGCTGACCCCCTGATAAACTGATTTAGGCGATCAGAATATCCTAATTGTTATTTTAATTCTGGTAACATTTTTTCTGAGGACTTTTTTTCAAGACATTCGCCAGCTTTTTATTCGACTTTTCCCGGAACGGGAAAATTCGAACAAGTAGCCAGCGAAAAAGAAGCTGACTTCAACTTCACGGAAGGTTGAAAGTCATGATATGAGGAGGTTTCTCTATTTCCAGCTGAGTAACATTATCGTAACAATAGTATAACATTATAGTAACAATTTTTGCTGTTTCACAGAACCGACAGGTCAGTATTTTGTCTCGTTTACTAATGTTTGTGATAGCTAGTCACAGCTACTGCACCATTTAAGGTGGAACGGCAACATTCAAACAAGAAGCTAGCGAAAAAAGAAGCATAATTCAGCCTCGTAGTATTTTTGATAAGGAGTTTTAGCCTATCGAAATATCCTACTCAGGGGTTTTATTTACGGGTATACCTGTAATTATGCGCTACAGGTGAAGATTTTGATAAGGTAGCACAGCTCGTCAGAGCACCGGTGTTACGGTAAATTCAGCTCACCCTGTTCCCCCTCATTGCGCATGTCGAAATCATGACATCTTCAGTCGACGTTCTTCTGCGGGTCTTAGATAGGCTTAATTCGTTTGTTTTTGTACTGTATTATTATTTCGTCCTATTCCTCGCGGTAAGCGAATTATCACGTTGTTTGTAAAAGTACTTGTAGTTAAACACGTTTTAAAGTATAAAATGTGTTGTTAGCAGATGTTTTAATGTTCAAACACTACGTGGGCTATCTTGCTAATGCTAGCTTTGGCTCCGTTTTCAACTACTCCGAGTAACAGAAGTTAGATTTATTGCGTCATTTCGGATTTAATTACCGTACATGGAGGCACACTTTGTTGTTCAGACTTAAGTGATTTTAATGTGTATTTATGTCCCATATCATCAGTCTCGCTAAGTTCTGTAAATAGATTTGAAACATTTGTTGCTGATGATGCTGGTAATCTATTTCTGTGCATGATCATTTCACCCAGTAACTTTTATTCATATTATACCACCTTTACACTGAGAATACAGGGGGGACATCTTCAACCAGAGCCTGAGAAAAGTGGTTTCCCCTTGTATATTACAGCTGGAGTGGATTTACAGTACAACAATGATGCTGATAATCTATATCTGTGCATGATCATTTCGCTCAGTAACTTTTATTCATATTATACCACCTTTAGAACTGAGAATACAGGGGGAACATCTTTAACCAGGGCCTGATAAAAGTGGTTCCTACTGAGTGAAATGATCATGTGAAAAACAAAATGTGCCTGCATGTACGGTAATTAAATCCGAAATGGCGCAATAAATCTAACTTCTGTTACTCGGAGTAGTTGAAAACTGAGCCAAAGCTAGCATTAGCAAGATAGCCCACGTAGTGTTTGAGCATTAAAACATCTGCTAACAACACATTTTATACTTTAAAACATGTTTAACTACAAGTCCTTTTACAAACACCGTGAAAATTCGCTTACCGCGAGGAATAGGACGAAATAACGGTACAAAAACAAACGAATTAAGCCTATCTAAGCCCCGCAGAAGAACGTCGACTGAAGATGTCATGATTTCGACATGCGCAATGAGGGGGGAACGGGTGAGCTGAATTTACCGTAACACCGGTGCACTGTCCGCCTTAGTTTCATGTAGCTTATTGACATCAAATTGATGCGCAGTAGCTTGAGCTCGCATGTAGCATATTAGTATTATAGCTCTTTAACGACCTCATAATTCGGAGGATCCAGTGGTATTCGGGAGAAAAATGTACACAGGACAAAATGTATCGAGTTCTGAACACTTTTATTTAACACAGGGTGCGACAGAGGCGATTTTTCGAAAACTGGCCTTAGAGAAATGGAGCTTAGACCCCGGAGTTCCTAATATGGGTATAACGAGGACCACAGAATGACGCACGACTACAGCGGTCTATTTTGTGTGCTGCCTTTTTTAATACATCACTGCTGTTTGGGTAAGACCTGTAACACACATCAAACGAGAGAAAACACCTCAAAGCTTCTGCACACTGTTTCACACCATTTCGATAAAACGTTGTTCAACCTGGAAACCGTAGCAAAAAGGTGCACAACATTTCGAGATTGAGCTGGTTTTCTACATTATGGGCCCTTTAATAAAAGTTAAGACATAAAAACTTATTCTGTGTTCTCCTGCGTGCATGCACATCTAATGCACACCTAAAACAACAAATAACAATTAACAAATTACTACAGCTTCATACCAACTTTTAAAAACTGTACACGTGTCTGGAACAATTTAAGAACCTTTATTTTAGGTGAGTCTGGGTGTAGTGTAGTTCCTGGAAACTGTAGGTCACTTTACAGAACTAAATTACACAATATTTCAATAAATTACAGGAGCAGGGGAACAAAACTGCAATTTTAACAATATTAACACTATATTTCATTCTGCTGTGTTGGTTCAGCTCCTGTTCTACTTCTCTGTTGATCACTCATCTCACTTCGCAGCGTTTTATTTTAGAGCAGAATGATTCAAAAAGAGACGCACAAAATTAAGTTCCTATAGAGATTCTGATTTGCATACAAAATTTTCTGTTCCACCTTAAATTGTGCAGCTGGTGGCAGAATGTAACCACTGCACCACATAAAGTGGAACAGAAAGTTGGAATAAAAAGGCAGTTTCACTTTGCAGTTGCTTTACTGATAGAGCTGGAAGTGCTAAATAGTTCTGCTGCAGTTCTCAAACTTCTTACATGGTCTGAACTTGTCAAAATAAGTCCATGAGATGCTGTTAAAGGGTTAATATGTTATTTGTGTTATACAGTATTCTGTAGTGCGGTATGTTGTTTCCCTCAGTATCACAGTATCATTAGGTTAACAGAATTCACCATCTTGTATCCTTTTGGTTTCCATCTATCAACGTTCTCTGACTACACAACCCAGCATGCAATAAACACCCATTGGGAATCTTCCACTGCCGTAAAGAAATGCACTGAAGTTGAGGCTCATAAACACAAGTGTTATTTCTAGCTTCCATTAGCTTTCTCACTTTCTTGTGCATTAGCTAGCTAGTGGGAACAACAAACACAAAAAATTTGAGTATCCACCCCAAAGCAGTTGTAGTTTTTTTTGAAGGTTCCTCCCACTTTCAAGATACATCATTAAAGGGGCTTTAGTGTTTAAACTGGACAATCTCACTCCAGAGAACTGCTGTATAAGGAGAGAAGGGAAGTTTATAACAGATTTAGCGATGGTCTAATTTTTAATTTGGGTCTGAGTGTCCCTTTAGCAGCTGACCTTTACTGAGACCTTCCACAGTCCTGCCTATTTACACCACAAAATGAAGCCATGCTCACATAAAAGTGTTTATAAATGTGTATGTCGCTGTTGAAAACATATGGAACCCTAAGGTGACATGGTTATTTTTTTAATAAAGCATGGTCACAAATTACTATATTGAGACCACGAGTTACTATACTGAGGCCACAAATTAACATATAGAGGCCACAAGTTACTATTTTGAGGCCACAAATTGATATATTGATGCCACAAATTACTATATCAAGGCCAAGAGTTACTAAATCGTGGCCACTAATATTTATATATCGAGGCCGCAAATTAATAAATCGAGCCCACGAGTTACTATATTGAGGCCACGCATTACTATATTGAGGCCATGAGTTGCAGTAGGGTGATTCAAAAAGATGCATCCGATTTCAAATGATTTATATTACTTTTAAATCATTACAGAACAATGTAGTAAATTGTAAATGGTTTAGGTGAGCATAAAGTTTATCATGTAATATTACAAGTGCTCAATATGACCTCCTCCATCTGTACGGACAACATCAACGCCATAATCACATTCATCCCATACTCAATTGAGTATGTCGGGTGTCACTGTACTCACAGCTCTTTCAATCCAATTTCGGAGATCATCCAGTGTTATTGGGAGTGGTGGCAAATCCTTAACGTCCCCCCACAAAAACAAAGTCACACTGCATGAGATCTGGTGATGCTGGTGACCTTTTTCTTGGAACTGTTGGTACCAATGATGAATGCTCTCAGCTGTTGGAGGTTCACTGCCATACTGACAGTCAGAAACTATGAATCCCTCTTTCAATTAGTATGTGATTGGTTCCTAGGCGCCTCACGATTGTAAAAATATGGTGCTTTGAAATTGGATGAATCTTTTTAAACCACCCTGTATATTGAGGCTAGGTGCTATTATACTGAGACCATGAATTAAAATATTGAGGCCACAAGTTACTATATTGAGGCCACAAATCACCATATCGGGGCCACAAATTATTATATTGAGGGCACAAATATATTGAGGTCAGAAATTACTATATGGAGGCCACAATTTGCTATACTGAGGCCACAAGTTAATACTCTGAGGCCACAAATTACTATATTAAGGCCATGAGTTACTATATTGAGGCCTCTAATTACTATATGGAGTTATGAGAAATTTAACTCGTGGCCTCTATATATATTAATTCGTTGCTACACCTTACTAAAAAATAATCAGCATGTCACATTATGGGCTCTGTAAAAAGATGTAAAACGAGCTGTGTGTGTGCAATCAGGCAGATGTTGAGGCTTTCGAGTTTCTCCCTGCAGCGCTGCTGAGCTGGAGCTCATGTGATGGAGGCGCTGCTGAGGAGGAACTGGACTCAACTCAGCTGAACACAGCCAGTCATAACATGCCAGCACTCGCAGCTAAATAGAAACTAAACGCGCTGTGAGACTCCTGATAACGCTGGGTTTCTGTACTCTACACTTTTAAACCCAGATGGTAGCGACATGGCAGCAAAAATATGGATAATCCTGGCCGCGGTTCTGCTTTGCTACAAGGTGGGAAATAAAGCTAAAGTTAGCTTAGCTTAGCTTAGTTTAGCTTAGCCTGTTGAGGGCGAGCTGAGGCTAAGAAAGTTTACCAACCGGTTTTTCCTCCCAAACATGAAAACTGAGGACTTTGGATTAGTTTTTTGGGGTTATCATGAAACTAACGATCTAACGACACCTTCACCTACTGTATTAGTTAGTTTTCATTGTTTTTGTGTGTAAAAAGAGAGTAAAATATCAGTTTGAGGAAGTTAAACAAATGTCGGGGATTTCCAGCTCTGTCGCTTAAGTTCTATTCCTAAAAACCGGGTTTCCTTGTAGTCACATTGAAGGGGATTTTATGGAGATTTTCCATTAAGCTGGATAATTTACCCCAAAACCCTAGAATTGAGACTGTCCACTAAGAACAGGTGAAGGACTTTCCTGTTGGTCAGCTCAGTAATCCGGTTAACTGAGAAAGCTGGATAATTTAAACCCAAATAAGGACACCTCTCAAAGGGGAACTCCACCAGTTTTTTAAAAACAAATTCCACACAATTAAATGTTTAATATGTGAAGAGTGTCATCCAGAGTGCTTTGGTGTAAAATGCTCCGTTTTAGAGAAACTTGCCGAGTCAGAATTGTTCACAGTGGTGATAGGAACCAGACGTCCGCCTCTAAAAGCTCCCTCACAGAAATGTATTGCATGAAATGGTTATGAATTCACTGTCTGTTATCTGAGACATTGTTTTACGATAGTTTTGAGAACTTAACATCCATTCATGGTGGAGAGATACATGCAGGGTGTTGTGAGGTAGAATAGTCCCCAAAGAAAACTGATTATTTCGGATTTTCCGCTATTTTCCATCATCAACATTCCATGTAAAACTCAGAAGACTCGTGTAGGTTCACTGTTGGTTTTGGATAGTAAATAAAATGTCTATATTTTTGTTGTAGTCATGGCGACCTTTGGTTCCTGTCACCACCACTGTAAAGAAATCTGAACCATTTCACACCAAACTGCTTTGAATCCCTGAAAATCAGTGGAATTTTCCTTTAACTTACCAAAACTGACCAAACTATCCTGAGGGACACAGGTGTCCCTTCATCTTACTGGACAGTTTTGACATAAGGCTTTTTTTTTCCTCTTCCAAGTTGCTTTCTCAGGTAAATAACTTAAACTAAAGGTGTCTTGCTGGACCGTCTCATGTCCTAAAAGTACACTCCAATAGAAATGCCGTTTGGAGTTAAAGCTCATACAGTGTTATTTGTTGTTTTGTTCCAGGGCGAATGCCAAGAGGCGGTTCTGCACGTTTCTAATGGAGCTCTTCATAAGGATTACTGTCTTGTGTACAATTCATCGTGGTCCAACATCTCCGACTCTCTCAGCGATGCTGTAAGTGAGAGGAGTCAGTGATGAATCCACTGACCCTGACAGATATTACTGACAGATGGAGCTCCACTGAGGACCCACTTTAAGAGCGATCTACTGTTTGTGTGTGAAATATTAGTGCAAGTCTGCTCTCACTGCCAGCTCTCATAATCCAGATGGGAGAAATAAAATAATAACATGGGGTATTGATAAACTTCTGAAGTTGGGCTGGACAATTAATCATATTTTATTTTCAGTTACAATTTTGTCTTCAAACAATTATAAAAACAAGATAATAGAGATAAAATTATTATCGTGCCACATTCCGTTTCACACTGATGCAAAAGGCCCAAACTCATTTATTTTGGTCTAATTTATATTTATTTATAATATAAATATTATGCAACAGTTTCTGTCGTTATGCAACACCTGTTTCCATAGTTATGTCACATGACTGAATGGTTATAATACACCCAATTACAGTTTTACAGTTAAATAGAAGCATGATGATTCTGTTAAATAAAAATGAGATAAAAAATTACAGACTGTTTTTTTTTCTCTGAAGTTCTAGGAAGAACCTGTGTGGGTTCTTTAGATAAAACCTCCAGATTCAGTTCATGTGCTCACCCAGAAGGATAAGCGGTTTAGAAAATGTGTGTGTGTGTGTGTGTGTGTGTGTGTTTGTTTGTGTCTCCAGGTGAAGTACGAGCTGGTGAATCTGACCTCCAGCCTGCTGTGTAATGAGGGGGAGGTGAGGCCTCAGAAGGGAAAGGCCCTGGCCGTAATGAGAGGAACGTGCGCTTTCAGTCAGAAAGCTGAAGTGGCTCAGAAACTCGGAGCGGCTGTCCTGCTCATCACCAGCGAGGAAGACATGGTAGGAGTCTGCTTTTTTGTCTGTTTGGCAAAAATCCCCTCTTAACTTAAAGAGATAATGAACATCTCCAGAAGTGTATGATTTAGCTGTTAGCACAGTGCTAATTGGTGGCATATTAGTTTCCATTACTTGTTAGCTACATTGGCCTTGTGGCTCCCGCGCTAAAACTAAAGACTTCAGACAACAGTCATGCTTGTCTGATCGACTGCATTTGGGGTAAGCTGGTGGCGGGGGTGGGAAGGGGTCTTTCTGATTCCTAGAGCTGTGGGGCTATTCTGTAGAATGATTGTAAATACAGACTAGCACTCAGAAAAAACTTTTATTTCAGCCAACGCCATCAGCCAATGATTCAGAATATGGGAAAGTGAAGATTCCACTGGCCTTGATGAGATACAGCGACTTCCTTGATGCCCAAAAGGTAAAAAAAGTGTCTGACAATGTCTTAGAACTTGGATCTATATAAAAAAAAAAAAAAATTATCTTGGAAATAAATGTGTTTGTGATTGCGATAATGTTATTTGTATTTATTATAGTATAAGTGTTTTTCAAAGAACATAAATGCTTACTGCTCAGACAAATAGCTTTTATATAGATTATATGTCTAGTCGAGTAAAAGATACCTTGAAACTAGTCAGTACAGCATCGAATAATGATATGAAGATATTTAAAATACAATTAAAATTACAACTCTTGCAATTTAAAAATTTCATTCTTTAAAATTGCGCTTTAGATATAAACATGGTGATTATTTATTTATGAATTTATTTATCTTAATATTAATAATTAATAAATATTGTAAGTCAGTTTGGAGTCAGTTATTGACTGAACACAGATGTAGCAGATAGAAATTAGACTTAGAAATGCTGCATTGCTTCTCCAGCTATATAATACATTTACGATAATATGATAATCATGCAGATCATGAATGTAAGCACTCAGGTAGGAGCTGAACACACCCCTCTCCTTCTGTCAGGTGTTTCCAGATAAGATGGAGGTGCAGCTGTTTGCTCCGCCCATTCCTCCGTTTGATGTGAGCATCATCGTCATGCTCGCCCTTGCGGTGTTCACTGTCGGCATGGGCGGCTTCTGGAGCGGAGCCATGGAGAGGTCAGTGACATCATACACAGGTCAAAGTTACTATCTAAATAGAGGATTGGCGATATGGAGAAAACATATCACGATACTTCAAGACGTTTTCTCGATACACAATATGCATCATAATGTTTAGTGTTTTGTTTTGTTTGTTTTGGGCAGTTGGGACAGACAATAGTTTATATTTATGTAATGCTACATAGAAAATAAAAATAAAAAATGCTATAATGATACTTATACACTACAGTGATGTTATTCAGTGATTTACAAACTTCACTGCACTAAATACAGTTAAACAGGCCTAATTATGCTCACTTTGTAATGAAAAAATGTAGTTATTCAGTTTATATCAAAATACCTACATTTAGAGTCAGTTATTCATTCAGCCTAATGAGAAACTCTAGAACAGACTCAGTTTATATCACAATACCTACATTTAGAGCCAGTTATTCATTTCAGATGATCTTTATTTTGTGTGTGGTGAAGGCTCACACTGTATGAAGTCCTATAATGTCCTCAGTATGTAATCTGCCCATGTTATCGGTTAAAGGAATACTCATTGGTTTGAAAAGCATAGTAATGTAGCTAATTATGAGCCCATTGTGTGCCCATTATCTTATTTTAGTTTTTTATTTTTACCCATTATTTTCTTTCTTCCTGCTTCTTCTTAAATAGTTTTCTTTTTCAAATTTTATATTACATAGTCATTGTAATAGTTTTTCATAGGCTTCATTAAATGTGGTGTTACTAAGGCTAGTTATCATTCACTTAGACCCCGTTTACACCTGCTCACTTCCTGTGTCCTGTATCTGGATTGTATCCTGATAAGATTTTGGCACCATGCATTTACACTTGGTAGTCAAATGCATCTCCAGTTAGTTGACTGAAATCTGATTGCTGTTTGGGACGGAATATGCAAATCAGCTCGTTATGCAGCAAAGTTCTGGGAGGGGTTTCAGTTGTACTAGGAGGGTCTTGCTTGTACTGGGGGGGGTTTTGGTTATTGAATGTGTTCTGGAGAGATGGATGTGTTTACACTGCTATAGCATGCGTATTCGCTACGTTTACACTCACATTTTTATGTGGCCTCATCCAGATAAAATCCTGATACTAATGACTGGTGAAGTGACCGGGTGTAACAAGGTCAATATTTTGATACCTTGACATCAGTACTGATTTCTAAACAGTACTTGCCTTAGCACCTTCTTTTAAATTACAAATACAAAGTAAGTTTAAATTATATAGCTGAGGATGTGTATATTTACTGACCACAGACTAATCAAGATATGCTGAAGTTAAGAACAGCAGGCATGTAATTTTGACAGCCAATCAGCAGTCTAGATTTTAGAACGAGCATGCTTATTTGTTCATGGCTGTTGATAAGACTACTTAGATATTGCATTTTGGTATTGAATGACATGGAGTTTTCAGTACTATTTTAATATTGAAATAATCAAGTAGGCACTGTAAAATTTGCTGTTTCGTTGTTCATAAACGAAATCTTATGACACTTTTGTATCAAGAAAATGTCTCTAAGTATCGTGATGTTATATTATTGCCCTTATGCCTGTGTGTGTGTGTGTGTGTGTGTGTGTGTATATATATATATATATATATATATATATATATATATATATATATATATATATATATATATGTTCAGGGCGAAGCAGAACACTGGGCTGGCTCTGTCTGGAGGTGAGGAGAGAGGTGATAGCGGTGATGTGACACTGTACTCTCCGCTGAAGGTGCTGCTGTTCGTGGTGCTAATGTGCGGGATGCTTGTGCTCATGTATTTTTTCTACAAGTGGCTTGGTGAGTAATCCCCGCCCTCTGAATGCTTAAAGGTGAGCTCCAGGTATGTCCACCAGGTGTAAAAGACATCTTGTTGGGTTAAATACTGATGTGAAGAAGAAATACTCTTCAAGGTGTGGCTGCAGCGATCACCGCAGCACAGTCAGGGGAACGTGGCAACCACATTACCACATATATTTCCTCCTCTTTATTTGTTTTTCTTTGTGTTTTGTTTTTTCTGTGAGTGCACAGCTAAGTGCAGCTCATTTTACACCAGAAGTGAGAACCACTGCGTTTCCGAACCCCTTTTTTTGTGCAGTGTCACTGTCTGTATGTTATATTCAGTAATACGCAGTAGCCTAAACAGAGTTTCACTAACTTAACATTTGTGACTCTGGAGTTTATCTTAAAGACCAGTGGTAATGTACGTTGGTTTTATTCTTACTGGTCTAATTGTGTCCTGCAGTGTATGTGATCATCGTGATCTTCTGCCTGGCCTCGGCTTCAGCGCTCTACAGCTGCCTCGACGCCCTTGCAAACGCAGTGGGATGCAGCAAACTCAAGTATGCGCATGCACACACTCACAGGCTGCAATTGATTTCCACAAATTTCCGTAATCAATTAACCTATTTACTCTTATGTACTTAAAAACAAAAGACTCTAATTATTTATAGTGTTTACATTGTCAAATTGACATTAATGTAGTTCTCACAGAAAAAGGCCAACTTGTTAAGTTCATTAAATGATATTGAAAGTTTTACTGTACAAGTGTAAAATTAACTTCAGTTTGGAACTTTTCTGTGGCACATCTTGCAGAAGCTAATTTGCATTGTTTCATTTAAAAAGCGCTCTATAATGTTCATATGATCCACACAGTCATTGTGACAGACTGTAATACACTACAGGAAGTGTAGGGGGTGATATGGTTTCTATTGTTTCATTTAAAAAGTGCTCTGTAATGTTCATATGATCCACACAGTCATTCTGACAGACTGTTTCTGGTGTCTCTCCCTCAGTGTGTTGTGTGGAGAAAGGAGCTGCTCGGTGCGTTCGCTGCTGCTGGCGGCTGTGTGTATCACTCTTGCAGTGGTGTGGGGTGTGTACCGCAACGAGGACAGGTACCATCTCAACATACACTCACACACACTGGTGTCTGTGTGTGTGAGCAGGATGTGGTTTAGTCTGAATGCTCTGGTAGCTGGAGATGTTTAAAATATTGGGAAATTTTGACCAGAGCAGACACATGTGATGTGCCAGTAAGTTTGTGTGTGTGTGTGTGTGTGTGTGTGTAGGTGGATCTGGATCCTGCAGGATCTGCTGGGTGTAGCTTTCTGTCTGCACTTCATGAAGACCATCACACTCTCCAACTACAAGGTGCTGTTCACTTTATAATTGACAGTAATAATTGTGGAGTCATTTTAATCCAGTGTGAATCTGCAGCGTGTGTAGTTTTTACAGTCTGACGGTAATAATTGTGAGTGATTTTAATCCAGTATGGACCTTGTGATGATGTAAGGTACTCCTTACACATCACAGAGTAAAGATTGATTGTATATACTTACCTGTACTTACCTTTGGACTGCTCATCGTTGCCTTTAAGGACTAAAAAGAGAACTGAGTGGGTTCACCTGAGTTTTACTTACCTGGGTGAGTCCATCCTCTGTAGAAGACGAGGGAAGAACAAAACTTGTAAGAGAGAAAATTGTTAAGTGTACACTGTAATTGCAAATGACGGTTAATGACGTCATGAATGTGAATGTGAACAGTAAGTAGAGAATATGAATTATTATTACTGTTGAATGTAAATATATTTAAATGTTCAGAGCTCTTGTTTTACCCAGGCCAGTGATGGTTTATTCTAGGGGAGGAGTGACTAGTGTATTAGCAGCATTACTAGGGGTACAAGGGATGCTTTCAGCTCAGTAATTAACTGAATGATAACGAGTGTTTGTGATCTGTATGACTTTGCGGAACTATGTCTTCAAGTTGTAGAGACTGTTATTTTCGTTTTGTTTTTCACTTTTTTTACCCATGAAGTGTACCCCCCTTCTATAGCATACTGCCGGGTCGAGGGACACGATTTAACCTGATTGAACCTAAGTTGTAAATACAGCCCATTTTAAATTTAATGTGGCTGTGATGTCTGACTATGGATACGTATGAATGAACATTCCACCTAGAACTGTTAAGCAACACCATTTTTAAGCGAATAGACAAAGAGAAATTGGACAATGGTTTTTGGTGTAAACCTACACAGCCAAGGTGGAAACATACAATACAAGAAGATGTAGTGCTGTAGTGTGGAGTGACTTTTATCTTTGATGTTGTGTTAATTCAGTTTTTTCTCTGTAGATCTGTGTATTCCTGCTCAGCCTCCTGCTGATTTACGATGTTTTCTTCGTCTTCATCACACCATTCCTCACACCTGTGAGTATCACCTGCTTCAGGATCAGAATATTTTGTCTTTGGCCCTGGCGTTTACAGAAAACCACAAGAATAGAAAATATGTATGTGAAATTAATATTAAAATCATTTATTACGATGCAAAGTGTTTCTCTTGTTCTAGAAGATTAAAGCTTCAGTACACAAATACACAACAGTAAATAAGAGCACATTTCTGCTGTAGAACACAGTCACCACCTCCAGTTTTTCAAAGAAAAGAAAAACAAAGCAAAGACATTGTCAGTTTTTTTCCCACTTTCTTCTGCCAAACACTGCAGCTTAAAGTAGGTGAAGGATTAAAGGGGAAGACTATAAACTAAATAAATTGAAGTATTAAAGTTTATTTTTCAAGACCCATATAATTTTTGTAGCTTTTTTGAAGTAGGAGTTATATGTATATGTAAACACTATTAAACTTTTAAAATGTATTGTTCACTCTTTGTTCATAGCTTTTGTGATCACACTCTTTGTTCATAGCTTTTTGTGATCACAACCAACACGCCTCCGCCTATTCTGCCTACAGCAGTTTATTCTCACCCATTCAGCCTACAGCATTTTAGCCCCGCCCGTTTAGCCTACAGCAGTTTAGCCTCGCCCATTCAGCCTACAGCGGTTTTGCCCCGCCCATTCAGCCTACAGCATTTTAGCCCTGCCCGTTCAGTCTAGAGCACTGTAGTAAGTGCTTTTTTAATGAGACTCACATAGGGCGGCCTATCAGAACAAAGCTCATTAACATACATCAGTCTTAAAGACACCGTAAAAGCCTGTTTAATTGTAAGGAGTGAAGAGGGGCTGGGAGACGATCATGTATAAATGATTTATGACTGTTTTTGATGCATAAGACTACAGGTGGGCAAAAATCTATTTTTCTAACATCTGATAAATTGGAACAGACAGAGTAGTGCTACATTTAAAGACTGTTTTACTGTCCTTAAAAACTATGAATACAATGATTGGTATACAACATTTCACACAATGTGCTGTACTAAATCCAGTTAAAGAGGTCTAATGATGCTCTCTTTGTAATGAAATATGCAGTGGGGAAGTGCTGTCGATGTCCTTGATGTGCTTACAAAAGCATGCTGCGACATTATTTATCACGATAAATATTACTATACTGTCCAGCCCTATGTAAAACCACTTAAACATTATAAGTGGACATTATAAAATGCAATACAGCAAGAAAAATGAACATTCATTCATTCATTTATTGATTTATTTATTTATGTATTAATGTATTTATTTGTTTATTTTTGTATATGTTTGTGTTTTGCAGAATGGAGAGAGCATCATGGTGCAGGTAGCACTTGGTCCGGGTGCACGAGGAGAGAAGGTAAATTTGTGTGTGTGTGTGTGTGTGTGTGTGTGTGTGTGTGTGTGTGTGTATATGTGTACAATAACAGTCATTAACCATGTTGGTGGTGTGTGTCTGTCTGTCTGTGTGTGTGTGTGTGTGTGTGTGTGTTTGATCCGGCTGTAGGGCGGTGGTAGTGAGATTCCGGCCGACCCCTCACCATCCTACGAGAAAGTAAGATTCAATCTATCCAAGATTGAAGAGGGCCGTTGGCCTTGCATGGCTTGCATGCCTGCGTGCTCTCTCACACACACAGAACCATGACTGCCAAAAACTGTCAGAACGAAAAAAAAAAACATCTCTACGCTAATGCTAGGGTTAGGGTTAGTTAATGCCAAAATAAGAACAACACAGCTATCCTTTCATGGTGTTTGGGCTGAACAGCCAACCCTGGAAAGAAATATATCGTTTTTTTTTCTTTGAAAAATAGGCTGCTCAACTCCTGTTTGTCATAAATGTCACGCTTTCGTGTTTGTGAGGATTAATTGCGTCTGAGTATCTAAACCTGGATTAACAGAGAAAACTGTTAGGGCCAGTCAACTTCTGTTTCTTGAGCTGGTTATATGCTGTACAACTTTTAAAACCGTAACAGATTTCTAGAACAAAGAGCATCACACACTTAACGTCTTGAATAGAATTTCCTGTTATGTTGTCGTGAAGACGCTCACACTAGATGATGAGCCTAAAAGAGTGAACACCACACTAAATGAGTTTTGGCTACGAAAAGCACCTAAAATCGTTATCATCGTTATATAAGTATAGGGATGAATCTGAGATTTAAGTCAAGTCAAGTCAAATTTATTTATATAGCGCCTTTTACAACAGATGTCACAAAGCAGCTTTACAAAGAATCCGGGTCCAAGCCCCCAGTGAGCAAGCCTTGGCGACAGTGGCAAGGAAAAACTCCCTCAACAGGAGGAAGAAACCTTGAGAGGAACCAGACTCAAAAGGGGAACCCATCCTCCTCTGGTCGACACTGGATAAGAGGACAGACACAAAACAGTATAAGTGGATACAGTTTAACACCACTGTGCAGTGCGCCGGCTGCATCTCAGGTCAGACCCTCTTAGGACAGGCAGCCGCTCAGCTCAGGGAAAGGGGGGGGAGGGGGAGGGGGGGGGTGAGAGGGACATAGTTAGAAAAACAAATTAACCAAAAGCTCGACTAAACAGGTAAGTTTTTAGCCTAGACTTAAAGATGTTTCTCTCTCCTAGATCACTTGTTCTGTTACATAGCTGACCATCTCATTCTAACGGGACTCGTGAACGCTTTGTGTGGTAGAAATCAAACATATTGTAGGGTCTCTAGTCCCGAGCAGATCGGAGGGCTAAAAAGTGACTCGTTTCTCCTCTCAAATAGGGGCAAATTGGAATTAGAATCACGTTTGGGTTGCACCAGGTTTGCGTAGGTTTATATTTTTTAATAAGTTTGGGCGTAAAGTCTTTACTGAGTCCTTAGTTACACTAGTTAGTTTCCAACTATCCTTTAACTAAATTTGGTTGCATTGAACTCCGCAAGTCATGTCTTAACTAGTAACAGCTTACTGATGTGTACGCCGCTTCAACATGATGATAACATGTTCAGATGTGTACAAGTTAAACTGAATAAACTGATGATCTACAGCCGCTGTCTGTTTATTTTTTAATATTTCACTGAGAAAACAAATACGCAACTTTTTAAACGCCGGTTTCTGGCTGACCGGCTAAGCCTCAGTTTAGCCGTTTGTGCAGCTGTGGGCGTTTAGCTTCGTGCTCGGAGTTTAAACCATGACGATGAGAGGAAAATCATGGTGTATAGCATTTAGATGTTTTTAGCTGAGTAACCAAAAAAATTCATATTTTTGGTCTTTTTGTGCTCTCTGTGTAGTTCTGATGGTTTCCCCAAAACTCAGTGCTCAGTGTTAGAACTAGTATGTGGTGCAACTCGTTCTGATTTAGTGATGATAAACCTGAACTTGGTAAATACTTACATCACAACTAGACTACGTTTGAACTTACACACAGCTGGTGCAACCAGCCACTGGTATACACACAGCTTTAGGTTTAGTGAAGCAGAAACTTAGTCAGGAACCCTGATTAATGTTTTTTTCCTCAGGTCAGTGCGATATGGTTTACGTTTTCACCGCACAGTGAACTGTACCGTCCCTGAATACCAAATTTGGTTACACCCCTTGCTGTGTGTACCAAACGTGCCGAGCCAGAATATATGAGTGAGGCTGGTAATGATGCAATACACTAATTGAATTATCACACTATCCAAAATCTCTCTCTGACCGTCACATAAAACCAAATACACTAAAAATTGACACAGAACCTGAGTCTCCTCCATCGCTGCTACTTTTTGTTATGTTTTCCGCTAACCCTCTACACCTCCCTCACTATTTTACGTTGTGGAAATCTTATTTTATTATCTTAATTCAACAGTATGAAATATAGAAATTATCTTTTTAGTATGTTCAGCTCAGTCCTGTTTTACTAACTCACTAACATGGGCTTGGAGGGGGGTTTCCAGAGTAGTAATGTGTGTCTACTATGTGTTTTGTCCAGTTGCCAGTGGTGATGCGCGTCCCGCGGTTCTCGGCCTGGGCACAGAACCTGTGTGTGATGCAGTTCTCCATCCTTGGCTATGGTGACATCATCGTTCCAGGTGAGGCGATGTTTCCACCGGAACACAGACACAAACACCGGCATGTACATTCACCAAAAGTCTGTGTAAGTTTAACACTCAGCATATTAATCATAAGTGCCTTCATTGGTCACTAAAATATTGGCACAAATGTGTCCCTTACAGGCCTGTTGGTGGCGTACTGCCACAGATTTGATGTTTGGATCGGTTCCAACAGGATCTACTTCATCTCCTGCACCATCGGTACTGCTGCTTTCCTCAACTCTAGTATCACTGTATAGAGCAGCACCTTTAGCATCGCTGTATAGAGCAACATCTTTAGCATCACTGTACAGAGAAACGCCTTTAGCATCACTGTACAGAGAAACACATTTAGCATCACTGTGTAGAGCAACACCATTAGCATGACTGAATAGAGCAACACTTTAGGCATTGCTGTATAGAGCAACACATTTAGAATCACTGTATTCACCTACACATTTACCATAGAGCTGCACCTTAATCACTATACAGAGCAACACCTTTAGCATCACTGTATTGAGCAACACATTTAGCATCACTGTATCGAACAACACATTTAGCGTCACTGTACAGAGCAACACCTTTAGCATCACAGTATGGAGCAACATCTTAGGCATTGCTGTATAGAGCAACACATTTAGAATCACTGTATAGAGCTACACTTTTACCATAGAGCTGCACCTTAATCATCACTGTATAGAGCAACACCTTTAGCATCACTGTATTTAGCAACACATTTAGCATCACTGTATCGAACAACACATTTAGCGTCACTGTACAGAGCAACACCTTTAGCATCACAGTATGGAGCAACATCTTAGGCATTGCTGTATAGAGCAACACCTTTAGCATCACTGTATAGAGCAACACATATAGCATCACTGTATAGAGCAACACATTTAGCATCACTGTATAGAGCTACACCTTTACCATAGAGCTGCACCTTAATCATTACTGTATAGAGTGACACCTTTAGCATCACTGTATAGAGCTACATCTTTAGCATCACTGCATAGAGCTTCAACTTTAGTACTGCTATATGAAGCACTTAGCACATTTTGAGAAACAGCGTCACATGCAGTAAATGTGTAATTGTATAAAGACTTCCACTCTGTGTCAGTAAGCTAAAGTTCAGTCATAGGACCTTACAGTTAAAGAGTTCTTGATGCATTGTTCTGTTCTGTATGTAAATATCTGATATCAAAACGGGTCTGTGTGTGCAGCATACTGTGTAGGTCTGGCAGTGACATTTGTGGTGATGCTGTTGTCCAGAATGGGTCAGCCAGCTCTGCTGTATCTGGTGCCGTTCACTCTGATCACCAGTGCTGTTGTCGCTTTGAGCCGCAAAGAGTTCAGACAGTTCTGGGCTGGGACCACGTACCAGGTGAGTGCTTCTGATTGGACCACAGAACGGTCTGATTGACAGTGAACGATCTTTGATTGGACAAGACAACAGCCCATAGTGCTTAAGGCATGCTTCTGCTTGCTTGAAGTAACAGTGAGTAATATGGGTATAAATCTGTGACCTCATGGCGATTGTGGTGATTTGGTTGTCATGATTCTTTAGGAAATGATTTGGTGAATCATGAAATTTCAGTTTTCCCCTGTAAACTACTTACATAGTAGTGGAATGTAGACACTAAAAAGAGTGTGCCAAACTATTTTCAGTTTTAATGCTGCTGAATTAGCAGCTTCTGATTGATGCATTAGTTTGTATTTGTACACCCCTGTTGCTTAGTGAGTAACACTCAAGATGAGCAGCTGACCACAGATCGCTGTCTTCACTACTATAATGCTGCTAGAAATCTGCGTTAACTCCAGCAGCACCCAGCTCTGTTACTGCAGGGCCACAATGCACAGTTTAGCGTTTTACAGCGCCAGCTAGAATAGAGATGCCTACTTTTTTGTCTTGGGGGCCTGGGGCCAAAGTAACAAGGCAGTGTACAAATAAAGAAGGCAGGTAGATTTCAAATTAGATTTTTAAAATGTATTTTTTTTGCATACTTCAAAAATACAATTCCACTCAACTTCATTGTCATTATACATATACAGGGGGATACAGTATAACAAAACACATTCGGGGTACTTCTCTAGTGCATAGATATTAAGACAAGGACAGTAGGTCATGATACACTGTCCATTGAAGAGCATACGTGGTAAACATGCTATGAAACTGAAACTTTAACTGAGATGAAATGCTACTAATACTAATTATTATATTAAATATCCCTCTTTTTATTAGATTTGGTTATAAATAGGACATGTACAGTCGTATACAAAAGTTTGGGCACTTATTTTTGTTGATTTTGATTTGACATCTTTACCAAGGGTGCAGTTAATTCTGGAGGGCGATGAGTCATCTTTTTTTAATAAGCTGTCGAGTAGTTAGAGCAGGTGCGGTGCTGTGGTCCTGCAGCTGTGAATCAGAGTCTGTTACCTAGCATCATGTAGAGCAGTAGTGCTGCTAAAGCTCCAGTATAAAATCTCTGAACGTTCACCAACAGAGCTTAAAGTGTAACGTCAGACTGCTCTAAACTCCTCCTGGAGCAGCCAGTTGTTTTGCTTTTACTAGTGCCTATTTTCAGCTAGTGGATGTTAGCCATCTCATTTAGTTTACATTAATATTAGCACTGTACTGTATTGTGTGTTAGCAATCGTAGTCTTTTCAATTAAAGTGATTGTTCAGGCAGAAATCAGATCCCCACAGGTTCCCACTTATTGCAGATGCAGTCGATCAGCCAAGACGTTCGGTGTCTGAAGTTTGCTTCCGTTAATGTAGCTAACCAGTAATGAAAGCTTTTTAGAGTCACCGGTTAGCATGATGCTAACTGCACACTGTGTGTGTAGTCTAAAATAAGGCTGTGTTCAGACTGCAGGTAAATCATATTGGTTTCTCAAATCAGATCTTTTGAGTCGACTGTCCACTCTGTTATCTGCTGATAATCAGATCAGATTTGTGTGTTCAGACACCACAAGTCTGTCTGCATGGTTTGCCGTGGTAACAACGTAGGCTTCAGTAACTACGTAGCTACGCTGGTGACGCGGATTTTAAATGCAGTGCAGGAGAGATGGAGGAGCATCATCTCACCCTCCAAACTCTTCAGAATTCTCTTCATAATCATGAATCTTTGAAGCTCTTCTTGAATCCCAGCATCTCATCACTCTGGATATGGCATCGTTGTTGTTTGTCATGTTGCGAGTGACGCAAAAGACCCTTTGAAATTTGAATTAAGCGTCCAGAGCATCCACAGTCTGAGACAAATCTCTTGACTCTAGACTCCCAGCCCAAATTAGGTTTTTGTCATATCCAGATTGTATCCAGATTGATTTTTGATAGTCTGGACAGAAAAAAAAACACATTAAATCAGAGTTTTGCAAATTGGATCCAAACCACATTTGGAGGTGGTTTGAAATGTGACTCCAGTCAGATTCTAACAGATTTGTCTCAGTCTGGACGCTCTGGACACTCAAATCGGATTTCAAAGGGTTTTTTGCATCACTCGCAACACGACAAACAACAACGATGCCAAATCCAGAGTGATGAGATGCTGGGATTCAAGAAGAGCTTCAAAGATTCATGATTATGAAGAGAATTCTGAAGAGTTTGGAGGGTGAGATGATGCTCCTCCATCTCTCCTGCATCCTTGTTGAAATCCATGTCACCAGCGTAGCTACGTAGTTACTGATGCCTACGTCGTTACCATGGCAAACTGTGCAGATAGGCTGGTGGTGTCTGGACACACAACTCCGAACAGTCTGAGCAAGGCCTTAGTCTTGTAGCTCCAGTGCTAAAACCAAAGATGCACACTTTAGACCCCAAATGTGTATTAGTCGATGGGCTATGTTTGCAGTAAGGGGGAAAACTGTGTACATTTTTTTTGTTAAACTTTCATTTTAATGGTGGATGTTGAGAAATGTTTAGAGCTGTTTATCCAGTTCCACTGCTGCCTGTACACGGTTATGTACAGTATCTGCAGTGCACTTCCTCTGCTCAGCTCTGTAAAACTGTCATGTCTGATTACTTGATCTCCATCAGGTGTTGGACTCGTCCCGGGAGCCTTTATTACCAGGTGGGCTTTTACCCCTCTGCTACACCTGCTCCATCCATACCTACCTTCCATTTGCTTGCTGTGATTGTTTTTGCTTGTTTGGTCTTTCCAGCTTCTCTCACCTCAGAGCTACCTCATTATAATCGCTCCATCTTTCCAGCAGTGCCAGAGGTGACAGCTAGGGGGCAGTAGAGGCGAAGGAACGGCCTAGAAATGAGACGTATTCGTTGGTGAAATTAAATATCAACAGTTACTGCATAATGAAATGTGAACAGAGTGGTTTGGTTGTGAAACGCTCTGTTGTAGAGAAACTTCCAGAGTCCGAATTATTCACAGTGGTGGTGATAGGAACCAGACATCCACCTCTAAAAGCTCCCACACAGAAAGTTATTACATGAAATGGTTATGAATACGCTGCCTGATGTCCGAGACACTGTTTTATGATAGTATTGAGAACTTAAAATCTGTTCATGGTGGAGGGATAAATGCAGGGCGCTATGAGGCAAAATAGTCCCCCCAAAAAACTTAGTATTTCAGATTTTCCACTATTTTCCTATCATCAACATTCCATATAAAACTCAGAAGACTCGTGTAGGTTCACTGGTGGTTTTGGACAGTAAATAAAATGTCTATATTTTTGTTGTAGTCATGGCGGTTCCTGTCATTACCACGGTGAAGAAATCTGACCCATTTCACACCAAACCACTCTGAATCACTCTGCTCACAATTAATACACTCAAATGTATGGGAATTTGGAAAATGGGTGGCATTGCCCTTAAAAGTGCAGAACGTATTATTTCGGCACAATGGTGTTCCATCGCACTGTCTCCTCAGCGGTCATTTCATATCTCTCTCTCTCTCTCTCTCTCTCTCTCTCTCTCTCTCTCTCTCTCTCTCTCTCTCTCTCTCATATCCATTGTGGCTCATGATGATGCTAACATCCGCTTCACTCAGTGTTCACTTTGTGTCTTTGCACAGTGTTCAGTTTAAAGAAAAAAACATGAGAGAAACACAAAAAATGAAGACAGACATTCTTACATAAATTTTACAGCCAGTTTCAGACGGTAGCATGTACATGTTGAATAAGCTTTAGCTGTTTGGCTATGACTGAACTCTGATATGGAGGAAAAAAATTCACAAATCATTAGAAAACAGGTAAACGGAGACTAATAGTATTAGTAGAGTATGTGTGTAGCAAAGTGTGTCATTAGCGAACATGAACTGTGGAGTCAGAGAACAAAAAGCTTTGTTAGCTAGCTGGCTAACCTTTGTAATTGCAGCTTTGTTAGCTAGCTGACTAGCCTATATATTTACAGCTTTGTTAGCTGGCTGACTAGCCTTTATAATTATAGCTTTGTTAAGGAGCTGGCTGACCTTTATAGTTACAGCGTTGTTAGTTAGCTAACTGGCAAGCATTTATAGTTACAGCTTTGTTAGCTAGCTGTCTGACCTTTTATATTTACAGCTTTGTTAGATAACTGGCTAGACTTTATAATAACAGCTTTGTTATCTAGCTGACTAGCCTTTATATTTACAGCTTTGTTAGCTGGCTGACCTTTATAGTTACAGCGTTGTTAGTTAGATAACTGGCTAGGCTTTATATTTACAGCTTTGTTAGCTGGCTGACTAGCCTTTATATTTACAGCTTTGTTAGCTGGCTGACCTTTATAGTTACAGCGTTGTTAGTTAGATAACTGGCTAGGCTTTATATTCACAGCTTTGTTAGCTGGCTGACCTTTATAGTTAAAGCTTCGTTAGCTAGATTGTTGACCTTTTATAGTTACAGCTACTCTAGAACAGCACTTGTTCTTAGAATAAGGGCTTATTCAGGAAGCTTTTATTCCCTAAGACATATCCGGCTGAAGATGTTGAGCCGGATCCGGTGTGTTAGATTTGATTTGCTGTCAGCGTCTTAAGTCTCTACAATCGTCTGTGATGATGATGTGGTGAAGGTTTTGGGGAATGCTGCTGATTTCTGCTCTCTCAGGCAAACACTTTTTTTTATTTTCATTTCATTCATTACAGTAATGAAACATGGAATACAACAGATGTCCTTCAGCTCTGCCTGTATGCGTTTGTGTACATGTAAACAAAATGGCCTTTTCTCTGAAGGTAGAATTGAGCTGAATTTATCTGTATGAGTCAGGGCTAATAGAAACACTGGATAAGTGGCATGTATGGAAATAATCTGTGAACAACTCTCTCTCTCTCTCTCTCTCTCTCTCTCTCTCTCTCACAGATGGAGAGGCTGCATATCCCGGGGCAGTGAAGAAATGCTGATTTTTGGATCTTTCTTTGTTTTTTATTTTTTAAGAATCTGACAGAGGGAGTGATGGACCGCCATTTATTCATGAAGATTTGAGGGAAGCCTTTAAAGCGAAAATTATACTCAGCCACCCCAACACTGGAGCTATGAGGCTAATGTGGCTAACAAGTAATGAAAGCTTATACCCCACCAATTAGCACGTCGCCAACTGTGTATAAGCCTCCATTACCAATTAGCTAGCAAATTATCGCTTTATTGTTGAGGCTTCTGAGTGTGTGTGTGTGTGTGTGAGGGTTAATCACCGGAGCAGCAGGTGTGTGTGTGTGTGAGTTTGCTTAAACTGATGAAGGGTGACACTTGAGCTGCTCCTGATTAATAATGATGAAACTGATATTAATAATGAAATTTATAATAATGAGCACTTTATTTTCAGAGTAACTCCTCAAGCATGTTTTTAGGGGCATTCTGACACATAGGAGTTTACTGTACAGCAAGGTGATCTCCATAAAAGCCTTAATTTCTCACAAGATCAGCCCAAAGTCACTTATTTCCTTTTTAGATGATCATTTTGAGCCATGATATTTCTGTATTTGTAACATTTGACACAATCACTTTTTCATCAACGGTTCTGTTCTTTAAATGTCTTTAATTAAAAGTGGAGAAAATTAAAATTGAATTTTATCTTTGAAACAGTGCGAGAAGTGTGTGTTTGTGAAGCAGAAGTGTCTGTTTCCTCTGATTGGTGAAACGAGCAGCAGCTTCTGACATCAAGGGCCATGTGGTGGGGGTGTTGTGGTTCTGAGTATTCAATTGCATCCACATTTTATCAGAAACATCTTTCATATTACTCCACTAGGGGTGGGTGATATATTTTTTGCCATATCACAATACTTGACATTTTCACAATACACTAGACTTAGACCGAAAGATGACAGCATCATCCATCGTTGATGGCTGAGAGACGTCGTGACACTGAGGCAGCATCCTGATGCCACACCCCTGCACCCCCAAACCCCCGTTCCACGGCGACTTAGTCAGAGGATCCTGTTTACAGCCTAACGTTTGCACTAATCATTCACGTTAATAAAGTAATTTAAGCTGTTTAACTGTGTTTACACTTAGAGTCAGACACAGACAGAGAACTGTAAAGTGTTCCCTTTTCGCAGCAATGAGTGTGATTATATTCACTTAATAATCTGATAACTGCAGAAAATCTGATCATGTCAGTAACTGGTTCATTGTATAGGTGGATGTTGGAGAGGGTCTGGGTTAGTCCAGGTGGATGCTGGAGAGGGTCTAGACTAGTCCAGGTGGATGCTGGAGAGGGTCTAGACTAGTCCAGGTGGATGCTGGAGAGGGTCTAGATGAGTGCAGGTGTATGTTGGAGAGGGTCTAGATTAGTCCAGGTGGATGCTGGAGAAGGTCTAGATTAGTCCAGGTGGATGTTGGAGAGGGTCTAGATGAGTGCAGGTGGATGTTTGAGAGGATGTAGGTTTGTCCAGGTGGATGTTGGAGAGGGTCTAGACTAGTCCAGGTGGATGTTGGAGAGGGTCTAGATGAGTGCAAGTGGATGTTGGAGAGGGTCTAGATTAGTTAAGGTGGATGTTGAAAAGGGGGCTAGATTAGTTAAGGTGGATGTTGAAGAGGGTCTAGATGAGTGTAGGTGGATGTTGGAGAGGGTCTAGCCTAGTCCAGGTGGATGTTGGAGAGGGTCTAGATGAGTGCAGTTGGATGTTGGAGAGGGTCTAGATTAGTCCAGGTGGATGTTGGAGAGGGTCTAGACTAATTCAGGTGGATGTTGGAGAGGGTCTAGATTAGTTCAAGTGAATGTTGAAAAGGGGGCTAGACTAGTCCAGGTGGATGTTGGAGAGGGTCTAGATGAGTGCAGTCGGATGTTGGAGAGGGTCTGGACTAATTCAGGTGGATGTTGGAGAGGGTCTAGATTAGTTCAAGTGGATGTTGAAAAGGGGGCTAGATTAGTTCAGGTGGATGTTGGAGAGGGACTAGATGAGTCCAGGTGGATGTTGGAGAAGGTCTAGACGAGTGCAGGTGGATGTTGGAGAGGGTCTAGATGAGTGCAGGTGGATGTTGGAGAGGGTCTAGATTAGTCCAGGTGGATGTTATATAGGGTCTAGGTTAGTCCAGGTGGATGATGAAGTGGGTCTAGATTACATAGTTTTTTTGTTCCCACAATGTTCTTTGTAAAGGTAGGATAACGTTCTTAAAAACATCATGTAAAGATCTCTGGACCTGACAACAAGTAAAAAATATGTCTAAGCTTCTTTAAGGTTTTATTTCATAGGGACGTTATTTGAATTGGTAAGCCTTAAAGGTTCTTTAACATTAGATTAAAACATTTTCTTATCATTATTAGACATTAGACAAAGTTGTGGGAACATTTCATCCTAGCTGGGTTCACATCCATAAAGAACCTCAGAGGAGACCACGGCCTGGGCAGTTCTGATCCTTGTCTGTAGAGAGGAATCGTTGCAGTTGAATCTCCACATCGTCTGTGAAGCTGACATTAACAAGAAGTGTCTTAGCAGCTGTCTTCTGTTTTGTAGAGATGTTCTGTGTTCCTTTAAGCTTTTGTGATTCCTATTTCATCTGTTATTATTTGTCCATTGCCCATCTCTCTGATGTCTCTGTATAGCACCAAAAGGGTTCCTTCTACTCGTCACAATAGCAGAACCCTTTTTGAAAATTTTCCATTTTCCATGCAAACGCTTCTAAACAGAATCATCACCTTTACTAAAGAAACCTCTGAAGTGTGTATGGTTTTAGCGGTCGATTCCAAATATCACTCGCTGCAGAACCAGAAGTCCAAAGGGGTAGAGCCGGACCTGATCCAACTCCGCCCACGTCTTCTTTTCACTGATCTAAAATCATCACATTTCTATTAGTCTTTAAACGAGTATGTGTCGCTTACTTTGTCCTCCTACGACTTATTTCATTGGTCTGCCCTGCCGCGTGTTTCTCTGTGGGAAACCAAAAGGTGATGCTGGTGTCTTTGTGTTTTTCTCGATGTTGCTCCGTCCTGAAAGCCACACAGCCTTTATAATCGCTCACGTTTCACGACGTCCACACTCATTTGTCACAACTCGAAAAGCTTTTCACATTCCGGCACAAAGTCCGTTCTGTAGGCCTACAAATCAAGCATACTTATGATAAACGGGTTCTAGTTAAAAACGATGAAGGTTTTTAAACACTAGAATGGACATATGACTGATCAAAATAACCCACATAACTGTGTTTATCAACTAAGTCCGGGAATTTCATAATAAAAAAAAAGACTTTTTTTTTACATTTAAAAGGATTTGGTATAACTGCCACACATTTCCATAAGTCTAATAAAAATGACTCAATATGCCTAAAAAAATCATATTGTTATAAATGTTATAAACCCTGATGAGCCACTTTATTAGCTCATTACCTTGTTTCTACCCTCGTTGTCCATTTGATCAGCTCCACTCGAGTTCAGACCAATTAAAACACGACGTGGGAGGAGTTGGATCAGATCCAGCCGAACCCCCTGGACTTTTGGTTTCGCAGCGAGGACGATCTCGTCGATTCGGGACGCAGCCTGTGCGAGTAAACGAGTGCGCCAATCGTCGACAGGCTCCGCCCCTCCCTGGTTCAGGCACGCCCCGCCCCCTGTCCACGTGACCGCGCGCGGGCTGACTCAGCTGACCCTCGCGCAGGCTGGCAGGCAGGCGGGCAGCGCGCTGTGCGTCAGTGCGGATCTGCAGCGGAATGAGAGACACGCAGCCGGGCTCCAGTAGCGACCCCGCCGCCCGTAGATGGCTGAACTCTCCGGAGCGCTGAGCCCCAACGGTGGAGAAAATGGTACGGTCCCCCCCCGCTCACTCCCCGCTTCCTCCGGCACGCAGTCAGCGCTGCTGCGCGGCTGGTGCTGCTGCCATGCTAACGGAGCTAACAGAGCGCCTGCTAACCGGCCAGCTGCCGCGCTCAGACCCGAACCCCGCCGGACAGCTGTGCGCTGAGCTCGTTAAAGGGACGATCCGCCGAGTTTTGGGTGAAACGTTTAACTCCTGCTTTTTGGGGGCTTACCTGAGCCTTAACTTGGTCCTTGTTTGTTTGTGGCTTATGTCGGCTTCCTATTCGCCAGCTACGTGTTCGAATGTTCCCGTTCCACATTAAGTGGTGCAACTGCTGCGCTATTTAAGGTGGAACGGGAAAGGTAGGGTAGCCATAGCTTAACATGCTTAACTTACAGCATTAAATATGTCACACCACCAACAAGCAGCGGTTTGTTTGGCTTTTTTTTTACTCCAGTCAGTTTATTATACTCCTTTTCTGGCTATAACAACGTAGTAAACACGTTTCTGAGACCTACTGTACTTAAGATTACTCATTAATGAGGACTGTGAAGGGCTGTAAAGCTGTAAAATAATGTTTATATATAGATGATTGTGTGATTATTTCCTTTGGAGATGGGCTGCTGTGCCTGGGGTACTTTATACACTTCATAGACGTGTCCAGACATAGAGTTTTGGACTAGATGGCAGTGACTAGGTTTAGGCTATCTCCCACTTTTTAAAGCTCCTGCGTAATTACGTGGTTAAGAGGAAAACAGAGTCATTCAGAGTGCTTTGATGTGAAATGCTCCATTCTAGAGAAACATACCGAGTCAGAATTGTTCATAGTGGTGGTGATAGGAACCAGACGTCCGCCTCTAAAAGCTCCCTCACAGAAAGTTATTACGTGAAATGGTTGTGAATACACTGCCAGATGTCTGAGACACTGTTTTATAATAGTTTTGAGAATTTAAACTCCACTCATGGTGGAGGGATACATACAGAAAACTTATTATTTCAGATTTTCCACTGTTTTCCCATCATCAACACTATTCACACCAAACCACTCTGAATCTCTCTGTTTACATTTCACACACTGAATTATGGGGGAATTTTGAAAGTTCAGTGGGATTGCCCTCCTGTATGCGTAGTGTAGAAACTTGTATGACAGGCCACAGTGAAGGAGGACCCTGATCTTTGCGAGCAGAGCTGTAAATCATTACACCATCTTAATCCTTACACTTTTCTCTCTTCTGGCTCCACAGATTATAGCAGGCTTCATGGCAAGACTGTGCGACAGGTTATTATTGTCAGCAGCGTTCCTGTTGCTGTTAATTCCACACTAATCTAGTCCTCCGCTAACTTATGCGTTTTTAGTAGTGTTATCATAACTATTAGCTCTTACATGTTCCTCTGGTTTCACTGGTTTGGAGATCTGGTGCGTTCTGAAGACTTCAGTGAATGTCAGCAGAGATGCAGGTAGAGATGCACTGATCCCAGTTAATCGATTCAGATGCCGTTTCCGATACCTGAACTTTGTGTACCGGTGGATACCGAGTATCAACATCAGTTCTCTTTTATAAAGTTTTATTTAAATTCTGTAACTCACTGTGTCTAACGAGGCTGTGACTAGAGCAGAAGAGTAACAAAAATTAATAAGAATGAAAAAACAAGAATAAAGTACTACAATAAGTTATTAATATGTTTCTACATAATACCAATCAGTAACACTAACCACTATAATTCCAGTGTAAACTTTTCAGCATGACAATAAAGTCATAAAATCTAAACATTTAAAGAAAGTTTGAGTTTAACCCTCAAAACTTAAGCTTTGTAAATATTATATGTAAAGCGTAAAAACCTTTAAACTA